GAAAGTCGCCCCAAAAACAAACCACCCCGTCTACAATACACAACTCCATACTCAACTAATCACGATCCATTATGTCAGAAATGCACCGCACACGGGTACACCTCCTTTCGGATTCGGAGATGAGGGCTCCGCGCCGACGCAAGGGAACAGGCCACTGAAGGTAGCATGTGCAGACGCAAGCCACAAGATACATCAAATGGCCGACTATGTAATGCAGGCTTGTTCATTTGAATATGGGTTTTGAGTGAGGAACAGTCAGTTTACACCAATCATATGGGAGGGTGGACGCCTGTGACTCCCGAGAAGAAAACGAACTCCGGCTCCCACTGACCACCCAAAAGATGTAAAGCCTCACATTACTGCTACAATGGAAAATGTCATCCTCTACACACCCTTCTCGTTCCAAGGACATGAAACTGGAAGTGGAAGAGAGAGAAGGAGGATTCACTACAACGTAGCCAAAGTTGGAAACAAATCAATTCAAAATCATGAAATAGTTTTTTCTGCTTGGGGGAGAGGTTCGTGCAAAGTGCTTAATTTGTCAACTCCTTTACTACGACACGATGTCACGCATATAAAACTGGCGTTATTGCTCTGAACAGTAGCTGTACTGCAATGAAGACTGAATTGACTAAATACAAATAGCACATTTGGCCTTCACACCGCATTGCAAAAGCTTCTCCAAACTCCTTCACTAAACTAAAAACCTGTTTAAATTATTTGGACATTACATGGCAAAATTTCACTCACACACTCTTTGCCCTCAATTACTTTAATATGCCTTTAGTGAATATCTCAGAATCGTGTACCTAAACCAGGCGACAACTTCTACGTTAACTTGTTTAAAACCACCAAAACTGGTCATACCAGATTACGGCGACCAGCACAATATTTTGGTTATCCTCCGTTCTGGTTAGGTTTGTTTCGAGTATGGAATTAAGTGTGATTTACGCAAGAGGATTTAAGGCTGTGCGTAATGTTGGTATCAGTGAAGGTTGTTTGTGTATTTATGCACAATTGTGAACACGTGTCACACACCGACAGCCTAGACATAGTAGTGTTATCCATCCAGTTAGAAAATCATGCCAGTAAGCTCTTCATCTGTGTTGCACCACGTGGCTGGCTAAATGTGGTATTTAGTTGGTGACTGTACATATAGTGAGTGTTCTATTAGACTGTTCCATTAAGTCTGTTTCAGTGAATCAGTAAGTGTTGCGCGTACTGAGGACTTGGTTCATGTTTTAGGGCTCTGCAGCATGAATCTTCACCCAATTTAATGACGGTTTCTTCCTTGCGAGTCCCAAATTTTCCAAAATGTCTCTGAAGGATCGTCGCTTACTGGTCTTGTCATTGATCTCAGGTGAGACTTTACAAACAGAAGTTTTTGTGCCAGTACTTTCTACGAAATGCTGAAGTTTTTGGCTTACCTAGGTACATCATGGTGTTTTACTGACTAAAATCTACTGAAAAAGAGGACTAACTGAACGTAGACGTCTTTGATTACCTAGTGAACACTCATTTTTCATACGCTGCATATCGTCTACTTCCAACTGTTTTTCATAATCGTTCTTTTTCTCATTAATTGTATTCCATCCCTCTAGGAGAGGATTTTGAAGAAATTCCCACAGCTTGCATAGGTGCGGAGGCGAAATTGGGGCCCCAGGTGCTGTGCACAGATCCTGTAAAACATTATAATAATCCACAATTTAAACAAGAACTTGCATGGGAACTTGACAGACGGAGTCTCCGGCTCTATCGCTCTTATCGCCACTTGATACGGCTCACGTTTTATACGCTTCATGGGGATGGCTGTCCTCGAGTTAAGGATCCTCTTGGTTACCTCTTTTTGGAACCGAGAGAAGCTACCCAAAAAAAACTGTTTAGTTGGCATCAACTTTTGGATAACAATGTGAAACCGCATCCAGTGGTATGCTGCGGCCTTTATGTCGAGTCGTGCTTAGGTTGATTTTCTTACTTTAATTAAATATTTTTCGTTGCATTTGAGTTTTCTTTGTTATTAAGTGTTGCTGCTCTTGGTCTGTGAGGTGATGTTGATTTAACTGTGTAGAATGCTTAGGGAGTCATTTACGTGGGGTGGCGAAAATACTTTTTTTGCCGAATTTTGTAATCGACACAGCTGGACACCTTCCGTCCTTTACCAGGGCAATCTGAGTGGGTTTTGGCGAACTAGATATCTTTATGATTTCGCCTCATCATCCCTCTGAGCAGATCATTTACTTTTAACAAAGGGGTCGGTATGCATCTTGGTGCCTGCCAAATGAACCTAGCTCTCATGGTATTTATCGTATGCTCCCAGCTTGGCATCCCACCATAAGAACACATTCACCTACGTAATTGGTAAATTCTGAGGTTCCTCGCTCGTGTCGATGGCACGATTGAGCTGCGTGCAGAGGACATCCGGGATGTTCGTGGGTATGGTTACGACCTTGAAGTGGGCGTCGTAGGCGTCATCGTTGTTCTTCGAAATCGAAGTGATTGCATTTGCTTCCGTAACTTGATGGGCAAGGGAGGTACCTTCCGCGAAAATGGGCACCATTTTTGGTGGAACGAATCAAATCAGCGCCAAGAATCACTGCACAAGCCATTTCTACTACCTACTCCTTTCCGTTAAATGCAATCCTGTAGATGGTGAAGCGACTCTGATTTCGTGACATCGGCCAGGGAAGCGTGAAGCTTCTTTATTGACCTTGCCGCGCCAGAATCCAAAAGGTAGCGGAATGGACGTTCTTCCGCTTTGTTTGGAACTTGCAAGAACAAACGAGAGCCGCTTGAGGGCAAACAGGGTAAGGACTATAAAGATTAGCTTAATTTTGTGCTATGATGCGGATGACCACAAAATAAGGATTTTGGGTATGCAGCCAGTTGCAGTTGTGCCTCAAGCAGCTCCTTAAGATTCTTAGTTGCAAACTTGGTCACTTAGCAGAGGCTTTTGGTATTCATGCCGCAAGGATTCCCAGCCGTAATGAATGATCGGACCCCACGTTGGAATGGATGGTTATCCATCAAGCGATCCAGATTGGGGTGAGCCAAGGAAGGCTAATTCTACTAAAAGCTGAAGGTTCTTTTTGTGCCCTACGCCTTTAAGCAGTTTTCTTGGCAGCGATGGAAAAAAACCCTTAGCGAATGTTTGCTCTTTCCGGGTAATGACGATTTATTATAAAGCAGAGCAGATATGTTCCGCATCGGTGCCTAGTGCAACACCTGCCAAAAAGCGAGCCTGAGAGAAGACTCGTGGGAAAAAGGATATTCTGGCATTAACAGCGGAATCAAATGTTAGATTTAGTGGCTTTCAGACACTTCGAAATCCATAACGTTGTTAATTGAAGGGAGACTCCGACGACCTGCAAATGGGATGGATTCTGAGCTCATCTGTTCCTTTTTGGGCATCGTCTTCTTAAAACATGGTAACTCATTGGGTAGGGCAATCTTTATTTGTAATATTATGAACAGCGTAAAGATATCAGCGGACTGGACGTTCTGAGCGAACTTTTCCATCGGGAATAGATAACGACTGCTCTGTAAGGAGATCTGTGCCCACTAAACGCGTCCTAACCAGCAGCTGAATCTTAACAAACATGTGTAGTACACACGACTTCTTTTAACTGGGTGGAACCCTCTTACACCTGTTTGTTTAAACCCTTCTTTTGCAGCATATCTTGTTGACAGCGGTCGCTGCGGTCATCTGTCTCTATCCCTGCAAACCAGTCACATTTGCGACCTTCAGACCCTTGAAGCATTATGTGTCTGGATTAATTTCACCTGTAATGCGGCTTTTCAATCTTTTTCACAAATCGATTGCAATGACAAGAGTAGTAGTGTGTTTGAATTCGATGACTTTTGAAATTTTCATTGCCTCTTCTGATAATTCCTTTTAACGTGAATGTGCATATTTTATCGCTATTGAGTTGCTTTTTTTCACACGTTCCTAAAGTGAGTATTGGTGACGAGCTTAAAAGTTATTTTATTATTAAACCCGTCCATAATTATTACCAACTGCATTTGAAGACGTGTTAGCCTGTCATAATTCAATAGTTAGTTGGATTTTTTCCCTACTGCTTATACTGCATTTCTCAACTTACATTTTAGGATACAGAGCAATGAACGATTGCATAGTTTTATAGTTTTTTCTTCCTGAAATTTCTTTTACTACCTAAATGACTCAAGGAAGACGCTGCTTGGTCGTAGTTTCGGTGATATCAGGTACATCGTTTTTTCGCATTCTGTAAATTTTGGTATGTTTTTCTCCTACTTTGTGTGTAAATTGGTTCCTCTGTGGTTTTTTTAGATTCCTGTATTCTTTGCCCTGTTAAAATTATCTTGTAAATCACGGAAAATATTGTTATCCTTCTTCAGTTTTCATGACCAGTTGCCTGTTTAGCATCACTAGATGAACGTTTTGTGCCCTCCTATTTTAGTTTTGTCGTATTTTCGGACGTGAATTTACTCGGCTATTTATTATTAAACAGGCAGAAACTTTGTCGACAAGCCAGAGGCCAGTGTAATTGCTGAGGCCAAGTTAGATCGAGAACTTCTCTCAACAGATCCTGTTCCTCATTCCTCGACCCCACATTTTGAGCAAGAACTCGCTTGGGAGGTCGATCATGCCAGTTTAAGACAGTACCGGCTTCAGCGCACCTCTATAAAACTGCAAATTTTCGCTATCAACTACAACGCTTCTCCATGTTCAAGGAACCTCCTCGGATACATCATTCTGGACGTGCGTTCAGCTACCGAACGCAAAACCTTCAAGTGGTTTCAGGTGCTCAATTCAAAGCTGAGACCATGCCCGGAGGTCTACTGTGGCCTTTATATTGATCCATGCAGTTCAAGTAGTCTTGTAGCGTCTGGTGATCTAAACGCAACGCCATTGGAAGTGGAGCGTTTCGTGGAGAACCTCGGCAATCAATTGGTTGATGGTTTTGAGATCAGAGGTACGGACTCCCCCAAAGAATGTTTTCTCATCTCAATGGTTTTGGTCTCAATCCCACAACTTGCTAACTTATTACCTCCCGAAGTGTCACCTTCTTCAACTTTCAAGCTAACTCTGCGTTTTCTAAGCAATGACCTATTCATCTGGGAATTTAAGGAAGAAGATTGTACAAAGCTAGGTGATGATCAGTACAAATTTTTTATCAGGTTAGAATTTATTTGTCCCATTTTATGGTGTTCAGATCGACAGTGGATGCTATTCGGGCCTGCTTTTTGCGAGTAAACATAATTGAAATTACACTTTTCGTTGATGAAAAGCCAATTGGTCACTGTCAAGGAAATTTGTCACTTATTGGCGATCAAATTACCCCAACCACTCGCTACCCCCTTTCTATGGACGTCACATTTACCGTGAGTTCACTATTTTCATACCCAAAATGAAATCACTACCTAGCGCTCACATTTTTTTCTTAACAGTTAATTTCCCCTCAAGTTGGTAATGTTAATTCGCCGGTCATTTTGCGATTCAACGTGAATAACCATGATGTTCAGCGCCACATTAACGGATCACATTCTCAAGTTAAAGCAGGTCCCAAAACGGTGAGTTCAGATAATAAAATCTCTCGTCTAGCTAACCATTTTCTAATCATTCAACTCAGAACTTAGCCTTTTCTCCCTCAGAATGGCGGAGGTTCGCCGGCTCAAGCACTCAATATGGACACCACATTAGTTCAAATGCAAACAAATCAGAGATCGGCATCTGAGACATTGCCTTCGCAACAGCCAATCACTTTGAGAACAACAGCGCCTCAAATTCCCACCAACTACATGAATGAGAGTGTGCAGCTGCGTCGGTTCTGCTACACCATAGAGTTAAAGACTATAAGAGCCTGTTGCGAACCGTCTCCCTCAAAGGAGACCTATGTCTACGCCAAGTAAGTGAACTTAACAAAGCTATGACTTATTTGTCTTAGGTACGTTTACCCCCTATTCGGAACCACAAATCCTATAATGACGCTCCCACCTGTGCAGTTTTCTGCGAACGAGGAAAAACACTTCTTTCAGGGTTACTGTGCTTTCGAGCTGGCCGCTGATTTTTCGGAGGTAGGTCACTCAATGACAGTTTCTTCTCCGCTTAAAGGCCAATGGTGCTGTGCAAGCACGTTATGAGTGCACTGTATCTGTGAGAGTTCAAAATAATAATTATGTCAATTTTATTCGAAGCTGTGTAATTGCTATGAAATTTAATTAGTCATTTTACACCTCCCAAACTTTGTTTTGATGTATCTTGGATAAAAACGATAATGAGAGTATAATCGTCTAGAGCGCAAACTGTAACGACAACTGGTGAAAAGGCTCGTAAGAAAGTAAAATTGCTTAATGCTCATTTCTTAGCATGTTGAGAATTACATATTTTCACTGTCTTTAATCCCCATTATTAGGTGGGTAAAACTCTTCACATCCCTATAATTGGCTAGTTCCCGTCAAATTTTAGGTTTTAGTGTCCGTCTTGGACTGATAAGCATCATTTAATTTTCTTACTGTCAATTCGACATTGATTCGGCATTTTAACCAACCGTCATGCAGAACGGCTGCTAAACGGATTCCAACTTTGTTTTCTCCGGTAGCCGTGGGATGTATCACCTTTGCTCAATTCCTTACTGTAATAGTAAAGCGTATCAGTTTTTGTGACTGTCTCCTAATGCTTGTTATCTGCCAAATACCCTACTTCCATACCTTGAAAGTTCGTTTCAAATTTGTTGGATTCGCTTAGGTGGTATTATCGAACTTTGTTGGTAGTCCATGCATTGCTTTGGTTAAATGCATCTACCTCTGTTGGTCTTCACTTGGCTTTATATGACTCTCAGGGTCTGTAATGTTGAAGTGGGACTTCTATGATTACCAGCGCATCACCTACTTTCAGTGTCAACGACCTCACCTCGCTAAATGCTCCTTTGGCGTTTCAATATGCCTGTGTCTCGTTTTTCTGTAGCGAATTACAAACTCGTGTCCACAATTGCTACGAATTGTGCTTCGATTTTTTCACCAAAACTAATAATTAGGAAAACTGTGCGACCGTAAAGATGCACCCTCGCATTCAATGTAGTATCGTATGTAACTCGACTTGTTAGAGCTAGTCTGGTCTATTAGTAGGAATTGATGGTTGCTAAGGAAACTGAATCACGCGTCATCTCTCTTTCCATAAACCTAAATTATTCAACCTAATAACCTATTCTCACTGTTTTTGAGCTGCAGCATTGGAAGTTAGTTAAAATTGGCTCTGTGTTTATCAACTGTTTGTGACAGCACATGCTCACACGCACGACCACCTTCAGACAGCACTTTTAGGGGCACTGAAGCAGCTATTGTATGCCACAACCAAGTAATCATCCACCACCAGGGTTACCACTTTCAGTAGCGTTTCTTTTCTTATCTTTTGGCAATGCTACTTCAGTTCAAATCACGTCTCCTCCAGGAGCCACTGAACGTGGAGATTTTAGGTCGATGTTCCGATGGTTCTAATGGTCTCGAGTCCTCCCTTGGGTGGGCTGTCATCCCTCTTGGCGAAATCTTCCCGGAACCCGTCATCGAAATGTCAAGTGAGTGCCATCTCGCAAATCTTTTATACTTTTATAGGTGTATAAAACGGATCCTTTCATTTACCGTCACAGATAGTCAACGTAGATTCATGACGGGAGTAGCAGATGTCAAGTTGAATGGGAAACCAATGGCTCAGATAAAGTATTCCCTCATCCTGGATGATTTTGGTGTGTATAACTCTTCGACGACAGCCGAAATTACTTCTCTCAACGTGAGCAAATTAACGAGTTCTTGTACAATGAGGTGATCATGCCTAACCGTTTTTTTGCCCCTGTATTCAGCAAATTGAGGGACTGAACATTGATGGCTTGAAAGAGGTTCCAGATAGCACTCCAAAGCTACCTACTGATATTCGTCAAACCTCGGAGTACCGAGCAGCTCTTGAGCTGGAACTCTGGAAAGCGAAGGAGGAGGAGCGCTTTAAAAATAATTTGAAACTTCGGGAACAGAAGATGTTGATGGTATTTGCAGAGGAATGGAAACGGCGGGAGATTGAAAGGGAGTCTTTATGCAAGAAGAAGGTAGTTTGAAAGGTGTCCCAAATTTCAATCCCTGCTATTGACTATAATATGATGTGTATCATGAATAACACTTGGTTAAACCATTAAAGTAACATGATGTAATAATGTCGATGATTATTACGAAAATTCCGTAGGTTTTTGTCTCGACCATTCGAGGATTGTCTTATCAGCTTTACGCCTTTCTTTTTCCAGATGCAGGAATACCAAATGCTAGAGGATAAACTGCGAGCAGCGCTGGAGGCTCTAATGGAACGAGAAAGGCAGTTGACTCTCAAGGAAGCGGCTCTCAACGCGGCAGAGCGAGATCTTGAAAGGAATCTCGAAATTCGCGAAAAAGATCTGCTAAATGATGTTCAGCGAAAAATTCGCGATGCTGAACAGGCCATCAGTAGTGAACAACAGCGAAATTTTCATCTCAATAACGAGGTGAGGTGTTTAACATTTTATTGCATTTTTCAATTTCTAAAGTTTTTTCTGATAAACCTTTACTAGACTGACTTTCGTAACGAGATACATTTGAACACTATGACTCCGCTACAAATATTCTCTGGCACACTTTGGTCATTGTTATTATATCTGACATTTTCTCGTTTATTTGCACAGGTAGAAGAATTTCACCTTAGTGTGCAGACCTAATGTTGAACATTTTTGAGAACAGCACGTTAACAAGAGCGTTTTTACTGATTTTCAAGATTATATCATTGCAACTGGGAGGGGGCGTTCAGAAAAGTTGGCACTTTATTTGCCATTTTCTATCGTTTATGGAGTTGAAAAAGGCACTAATTGATTGTAAGTGAACATGTCTTGTTCCAACGTTTGCCTCTTAAGTCAGGTTGCTTTTCAGTTTAGTGTAAGTAGTGAAACATGAGAACTATACCGGAGGAAATTAGCGTTTTCTCATCCACTCCTAATGCACAGAACACCTACTTCTTGCACATGTTCAGCTCCGTTGTCGTGTAGGCTTATTGTAGGAAATTTCACTCCATGGACTGCTTGATGAGTAAAATGAGAATTTTGAAATGAGTCGTGACGACGCCACTAATGGAGGCACATCTAAGACTGGGAAAAATAGGGTTGCTCCAACGGAAGAGTGCCGGTTGAAGAGGTTGCAAAATAACTCAATGTGAATGCTGGGTCTCTTGATAGACTGACCCATCATAATCTTAATTTTAGTGAGATGTGTGTCGTATAACTATCTTAGCGACTGACTGAAGAGCCTCGATATTTGTGAAGGTGGCATTTTTCTACAGTGAATGGTCATTAGTGACGGCCCTTGAGTTCATTACCACGAGTCCAGAAGTAAGCGTTCCAGCATGAAATTTATCCAGATTCCACTTAAAACCGATTCCCACCTGTTTCATGTAGCTATGACGTTAAAGCTATGATTCACTGGAATTTAAGCTTTAAATTACATACACCCTTGGCTGTAATAGTGTAAAATTATACTGCAAATGAAGGTGATGAATGATGTTGTTTATTCTGGTTTAGTTATTTGAGCAAAAATAATAATGGCAGTAAGCGGTGTAGTGCATATGCGGTAAGCAAAAATGCCTGGGTAAATCGGCCCTACTTCATGGAGCACTTTTGGCACTTTTATGGGTGCCACACTTCGTTTATATCTGTTTGCATGACTTTGTATGTTTTAATGTCATTGTTGTCAATCTTATGGGGTTTTTCGGTTCAAATGAAAGTATTTATGATTGCTTTTTAATCGGTGATCAAATAATGCCAGCGCGAAGGGCCAATTGGAAATCCAAAAAAAAGTCAAGTTCTGCTATGCGTCATGGTAATGATGTCATGCTATCTGTAAGTACCAATACCTTTAGACTGATAGAACTGCCTAAAATCATTCTCATTTAAATACTTTTATTAAGCTCCTTTTGCAGTTTGTGATAGATTGCTTACACTGTGCTCGAATCATTCATCCATAATTTTTCGGTGCAGACGCAACTCATTTAGCTGCAGTCCCATTTGTAGAAATTTGCTTTCTTTAGCTACTAAGTTGATTTAACTTTCGATACAAAAGTCGATTTGCTGAGTCCCAAACGATCCCCTGAAAAGGCCTTGGTTCGTATTTTAAAGATTTTAGATAATGCCACAACAGAAGACTGATTTATGTTTAGTGCAATAAGTTCAACACCACTTTTTGTTAAACTAATCCTTGTTTTTTCGGACGGTATACACATTTTTTTTCTTCGAATCAGCTGGCCGTCCTACGGGAAAAGTGTAAAGGTCTTGAGCAACAACTGATTGAACATCATCTCAAAGCCACCACTACCTCCACCACTGGCGTAACCGCAGACACAAAAGACGGGTTGGATCAGGCAAAGCGTGACGAAGAGGAGATTCGTCGCCTCCAATTTGAGTTGGTCCGTCTGACCACGGAGTTGACAAACGCCCAGAGCCAAATTTCTACCATGGAGCGACGTTTGGACGGCGCGTTGCGCGGACGGGCTCGCTATAAGGATCTATGGACGCGGGCACTGCAGGAGGTGACGCGGCTAAGACAGGAGGCTGCCAACGCCACCAAACAGGAGCTTCAACGACGCGAAGCCGAGGTGGAGGGTCTGCGAAGGGAGCAGTGTCTGCTTTTGCGTGCCGGGGACACACGAGCTTGTCTCCATCACGACACACCGGCCCAGCAGAATCCAGCAGACCCACAGAGGTCAGTTACCTGATTGAATTAGCTCCGGTTTTGGCGTGCTGTTTTTCGATAGTTGTGTCATGACTGCAACAGATTCTATTATCACCTTTATCGAGCAGAATCTATATCAGTGAGGTCGGATTCTTGGTGGGTCTAGGTGATTTTTGAAATGTTGGGTTAAAGTTCTTTGTAACGTAGAAATGGGCATGCTTCCTTCGTTTTTTTTTGATTCTTAAAAGCTATTGAATTGAGAAATTATCATGCTCTGTCGACTTCTGCACATTGATACGATTTGTGCGTATCCTGCAATAGGTATTAAACGGAACTTGTATTTGATCGCTAGTCTTAGGACAGGAATCTCGTGGAAGTGAACAGAAGCGGCGATATCCGTCCTGGTTTTACCCCAAAATTCAAACTCGTTAAATGGAAACCGAATCAAATGTTGCTTTAAGGAGGCCCTAGTGGCAACTTTGTGACAGATCAGAATCCAGCCCTCCAACTTTGCTTTTTGTCAAAACCTCTGTGACGGGTAGATTCCCCTTTACTGAGTGTACTAAAAATAAGCTTTTTCCAGTGATAATTGAGCAGCCAAACGAGTGTGATTGGTCTTCGTTCACGGTTACAAAGATTACGTATGGTGTTCTACTCGAAATCCAACTACGTAAACAATCCCGGGGATCCCGAATTATTCTTTATATTCGGGACATTGTAGTTTTGTCACTACAGTAACTAGTTTTTTGCGATAAAACTGACGGTGGTAGCTATCACAGCAATGTACGTAATTCAATCGGCTGTACCAATACCCAGCAGGGTTTCGAGAATTTGATTGCGTACACTCTACCGCATTTTCAAATGGAAACGATAAGCTTTGCTGAGCAATCGAACACTCCTTTAAGAATGTGTATGACCCATTGGCCTAAACAGGCGCGTCACCTCGCCGTGAATGCTACCTCTAATTCTCAAATTACTCATTGAGAAGGCGTATATTCGCTTTAACACGCAGTGCATCGCATTCTCCCGGGGTTCTGTCTGCATACGAAGACGAACACACGTTCTAGTTATTAGCAGCGTAGTCGTTGCGTTAGCCGAATTCCTTTTATTTTTATTGTAGTTTGGGGGAAGCCGCATCAGGCAATCAGGAGGAGGTCCCCCTACCATTTTCGGTCGCCCTCCAAAAAGTCAACGACCCTGCCCTTGACGCCCAGTTGAGGCGCTTGAGGGATGAACGGGAGTGTCTCCTAACCTCCGGCGTCTACTACGAAGATGACGTGCTGATTGTCGATCTTGACAGGGAGATCAAACGGCTCCAAACTCTTATTAGCAATCCTGTCTGATCCCTTGCTTTTATTTCGCGTTTCGATTTATATTGCCTCATGATTTGGCGGGTTATTCAAGACCATTACTACTAAGGGTTCATTTTTTTTTGCTAGTTGCGCAAATCCCGTTACGGCTGTGAAGTGAACGGGGGAAAGTAGTTTTCGCATCCTTTGGCTGTTTGCTGGACCTGAAGGCTTGACCTGAGTACAGATTCCGTCTAAGGACCAGGCAAATTTAAGCATTTATAGTAGTTTGCGCTTCGACGCTTCCCACCCTCTCAGTTCCTGAGGTTAGTAACTTCCCCGTTCAAACTGTTAGGTTTAACTACTGACGGTTTGGATGTGTGGCACCACTTCGAGCCAATAATGTGTTAACATTGTAACTTGGTAACCCACCTACGAAGCAAGTAGAGCCCCTTAGAAGGCTCACTTGGCGCCTATCAACGGGAACATGGACGTCATTGCAGAAGATATCGATGTGAGGCGTATTATGCTTTTGTCAACTCTAACAACAAAAGCTGCAGACAGCAGCACGCTGTGTGGTCAATCGGTAGGTGACATGCAACTCCTAAGTCCGAGTTTACGGGATGGTTAGTGGTACCAATCCAGGGAAAAAAAAGTCTATTTCACATAGTTTTATCGAATTTCGATTAATCTACTACGTCCGAGAAGTAGAGGTCTGCGGAGATTCACCTTGAATACGGACCTGTCGTTAACTAAGGATTCAAGCCACCGAACTAGGCAGTGAGCAAGATATATACCGGTATCAAACCTGAAAATTCGCAATTTCTTCTTCAGAAATAGGTTTTCGGAAGAAATTTGGATGGAACGTCAATTCCGTGAAGACGTCCTCCTTTAAAACGGGTTCCTTTTCTAAAACGAAAAATACATGGGTAGAAGGTAGTGCGCCAATGCTTGATGTCTGATGGAGGGTCGCCATTAGAAATGAATATCACTTCAAAAACCTGACACCATAAATTTGTGGAAAGTGGTGAATTCGAGTAAATCTATTGACAATTTGGGTTAGCCATTTACTAGGGTGGTGTTGACATTCAAGAGAACTCAAAAATTGCACAACAGGGAGCGTTGTGCAAGTCAAGTGTTACAAGGCAACTTAGCCCAATTAAGACAAATAGAAGAGGAATTTCATGTGTCGAGTCCTAGTAACTGAGAAAGTTCTATGCATTTTCAATGAGAATGCATCTACTATAAAATTACAACGCTGCACCTAACACCTGGAGCAATAATTCAATGAGTGTTAGAAACACAAATAACTACCTTAGGTGAGGACATATACACCAATGGAGAACAAAAAGCAAGTATATTTAATCCAAAAAACACTAACCGGAGGTGCGCTTTAACTGTGCCCTAAACCTTATTAAGGGAACATGCTTCTTCACGGTCGCGATTGAGAACTGCTGTTTTGAGTTCGTTTGCATAAAGAAAGCACGCATTCTGAGAGCGAATTGAGACATCACGAGCAAAATAATGAAGAAGCCAGGAAAGGCTTTCCGTAGCCTATCTTTGAGGTCAATCACCTCTCGTACTTCAGTGGTCCTTTAAAACGATGAGGGGCATTTCACGTGCAAAGAAGGTTTAGATAATAAGGCTGTTTAAGTTATTTAAAGACCTACTGTTTCTATTAGTTAAACTAATGTTTTAAATAAAAAAGAAAGTGCTCGGTTGATATTCAACGAACAATTTTAGAAAAAGCCATTTACAAAACTCCTTTTAAGTAAAATGAATCAATTAATTTATTGAGTTTTGGCAGCTCAATGCGTTACGTTAGACTCATTGCATTTGGGATCTAAAAACCCACGTTATAATATCCAGGCAACATGCCCTGCGCCCCCCGATATGTTTAGTTTTGGTGTAGTAGCATCCTATACAACATTCGGTATAAATCAAGGCTAGTTTATGATCATGGTTCTCTTGCCTTAAGTTAAGCATGTAGCATGGGTTAAAAATACATTGATTTTCCCCACTCTCTTTCTTGTACAGCTTCTGATCTAACCACTTGTGTAGGCATTAATTATAAATGCATTTTCTCTCAAATTAACAGACTTATACTTTGTGGTGGATTTAAGTTATAATAGCCGAAGCTCTTCCTAATATTATTTATTTCCTCTTTTTCGGAGTTATTCTTGTCTTGTTTCTTTTGACAATTTGTGCTTTTCTACATGCCTAAGGTCAATTTTGAAGAAATTTAATGTTAGTTATCCGTTTTCTAATGATGTTTCTAAAAAAAATTGCACACTTTTTCGGACACTTAAAATCAACGCTTCTGTTAAATTCTGGAGCCATGTTTTGTGAATCTCCCTAACGCAACTTTAACCTTGATTTAAAGCCGCCCTCTTCACCTATCAGGGCACTTGTACAGACTCTTGATGTCTCGGCGTGCCTTGAAAGCTGTTGTTGTTTATAATCCCCACCCCCATATTGTATTATTCAGAGAGTTGGCTGGGTACAAAAATGCAGCAGCAGAAGACATTAGTGATGAGGATAACACAGTGTATCTTCGGACCTTGGATCCCAAAGACTGGAGAACAAACGACCATTATGCAGTTCTCAATTTAAAAAAACAGCGATATCGGGCCTCTGATGAGGACATTCGGAAGCAATGTTAGTTATCTTATCATTTTTTTCTTTAATTAACTACATTAATACTTTTCCGAATGGGTAGTCACCGGTCATGCTATATAGCGTCCGTTTGTTTTATCAACTCCTTTGGAGCCAAAGTGGTCATTCACATTGCTAGCTCATATTTTAGACTGGTGCTAAAAGAAATATTTTTCATCCAGTATTTTGAGTTAAAAACGTTTTGTCATTGTCAATCTAGATAGGCAGCTAGTACTTCAGCATCATCCGGACAAACGCCGGGCACGGGGTGAGAACATCAAAGACATTTCTCATGATTATTTCGCTTGTGTCACTCAAGGCAGGTTTATCGCTTACTTACATAAGGTTTGGCAGAATTTTACATCTTCACGTTATCTTCTTTTTGCAGCCTTTGAGATTCTTGGAAACTCTTCGAAGCGTCATGCCTATGACAGCGTGGATCCATTCCTGCCAGACTACAAGCCCTCCTTAGAGGAAATCAAGAAGGATTTCTTTGGGACCCTTAATATTTTTTTCCTGGAAAAGGCAAGGTGGTCAAAGCACCAGCCGACGCCGTTCCTGGGTCACGGGCAATCACCCCTTGAAGCCGTCTATCGCTTTTATGATTTTTGGTGGGCTCTCGCGCTTTTTATTTTTCTTTATATCGTTCGTACGCTGCAGAATTTAGTCTCTCTTATTAGGGAGGGATACGAGACCACAAAGGACTTCTCTTTCTTGGATGAAGAAGACAAAGAAAAAGGCGAAGAGTAAGTTTTTTTTTCCAAACTGCACTCCGCTCTCAGATTCGAATCAGCGCTTGTTTATTGTTTGCAAAGTTTTAAAAGCGTCCTTTTTCTCTAACAAGTTTTACCTGATAAATGAAATTTCGCACTCCTACATTTACCCTATTTTGTGGTTATATTTAGCAGCTTATATTCACCTTGAAGTTAAAAACCGATCACTTTTGATATTATTAGTTTGCTTCCCAGGTAATTTCTCATCTGTTTTTACAGGCAGAGTTCAAACTCCCACTTGGGTTTCTAGGATGAATTTTCGTCCAGCTTCATGTCAGCACCATCTAGTAACCATTTTATGCTATCGTGATCGAAGGAAGGGTCTGACATTAGCCTCCAATCACAGTAACTGAGTGAAGATGTGCAATTAAGATATTACTTGGTTGGTTATATAACCGGTGCCGAATCTTTATTCTCATTCCTTGAGGAAAATGAATAACTTCATGCAGTAAAATCATTTGTGGTTTTAAACTCTGGGTGAGCTAATTTCGCAGATTGTTTAAGCTGACACTGAATTCTTCTGGTTGGCAATTTGTGCTTTTAGAACCGACATTGCTTCATTTGAATCTTACTGATATGATTCTACTTTGACTGCTTTAGCAGCGATATCTAGGTTTCTCCAAAATCGTGCTTTTTTTCACATATTTGTTATGGGAACGCAAGAAACGGTAACTTGAAGGCCACAATTTCCGTTTAAATACCCATCCGTACTCTTGCATGTGTGGCAAATAATAGGCTAATTACTCTTGCTTTTTAGCTTTTTCAAGCAAAATCTATCTAATTCTTAATTTTATTAATGTTGTTAAACGCCAATCATTTGCCACTAGCCGCGAAGCTCGCCGCTACATTGAGCGTTGCAATCGCGCAGAGCGTCAACGTCGACGTAATGAAGAACACAGGAAAGTTCATCAGATAGTTGACTTGGCTCGATCTCATGATCCTCGTCTCCTTGCCGCAGAGAAGGCCGCTCGGGAGGCCAAGGAGGCTCGCAAACGCGAACGCCTTGAGGCCATTCAAAAGCGTCGAACCGAAGAGGAGGCTGTAAGCGCACTTCTACTAAAATGGTTTCAATAAAGGTTTTGTTTCGGAATGTGAGGTTGTTTGTAGGGCTGAAATGACTATTCTCCCTATGCACATTTCAGCGAGCGAAAGCTGAATCCGCGGCGGCAGAAGCGGCTCGAGCTGCTGCTGCCGAACGCCAAAGGCAGGAAGCGGAGATGCAGCGAAAAGAGAGGGAACAGATCAAGGCTTTGTCAAAGAAAGAGAAGAAACGCCTAAGGAATAATTGTGTTAATCGATGGGCCCACTTTGTTGCTCCTGCTCGAGCCGAGAATCCTTCAGTCGCTGAAGATGCTGTAAAATTGCAGACCTTGCAAGATGTTGATCTTCTCTGTCATGTGCTTTCTGTTGTTGAGTGGGTTGTCTAAATTTTATGTTGGCAATTTCTCGTCATTTTATTTCTTGATGTAGTTTTTTCAAGTGCTTTATATAGTACTTTCTCTAAGAAATATCTCTAGCCTGAATTGGAATGCCTGTGGGCTTCGGAGTTGGATATCTCCTCTATGATTTGCTTCTTACTTGCACACAAGTACTTACATTTTGGTTTAAGTGTCGTTTTAAGTGAAGATTCAGGACTTCGCTTTTTTAAGGAGTTTATGCTACTACAAGACAGGATTTTTTTTTAATCACTCCAAATCCTAAAAAGGTATCGCAACTTACACCTATTTTAAAATACGAAACAGAATTTAATTAGTGTAGAGGCGGTTGAATCATCGAACTACTTTAGTACTTTTATCAGACGCGGTCCAGTTATTTGCCCTCTCGTTTAGGTTGGCAGATTTCAATACGAAACTTGAGAACACAGGTGATGTCTACGAGTCTTTCAGTGTATGGAAAGCAGAGGTATATTTTCATTGGAATCAATCATTAAGTATCGTCGTTATTTATATATTAAACTACATTTAATGCATTAACCCATTGCCGCTATTTTATCAACATCTCTCCTGCATAAAGCACTCTTAGTCTACACTTACTTGGACTTTTGTTCCCAGTTGGCACTTTCAGTTTTTCTTAGTTTGAAATTGACGTTACCTGCGTTTGGTAATAAGGTATTAATGGTGGGTTTTTAAGCTGCTTGCAAGTGATGCTTCACTAAAGTGTTTGCTTATTCAATTTACTTTAATTTCAGCTATTTTGTTTCCATTTATCAGTACGGATTTAGTGAAGGAAATTCACAACCGCTTTTGATACTTGATCCAAATGGTGGACTAATTCCCTCTCAACGAGAAAATAAAATTCGAATTTTTCCGTACAAAAAATGACTAGCTATATTGAAACTAATAAAATAGCTAATCAAAGGGAAACAATTTGTTTCCTGTGAAAGAATCGCAGTCCCACATTTTGGTAATCCAGTGCAAGATATGGTCTTTGGATCACCATTCCTGGGTAATTTAATACTGTATTTGCGTTTACTTATGAGAAGAGTCATGAATTGGTTTTGTTGTTGGTTTTAAGTAAAGAGTGGTCTTGCTAATCATGCTTTTACCTTTTTTAGGTTGCCAGAGCACGCAAGGAATCCGAGGCTCCCGGTCTGCGGTCCATCAATGAGCCCAAACCCGCCCCTTCTGCTTCTAACAGCAGTGAGGCGAACTCAAGGTGGACCTTCGAGATGAACCAACTCCTCATAAAGGCTGTCAATCTCTTCCCCGCTGGCACACAGAAACGGTAGACTTCCCATTCTTCTCCTTCATCATTGCCATCTTTTATCTTCCTCTTGACTTCTTTTCCTTTTTCTCTTTGTCATCCAGATGGGAGGTCATTGCAGCCTACGTGAATCAGCACGAGAAGGGCGTTGAGGTGACGGGAAAGGAGGCTCTCAAGCAGGCAAATAACATTCGTCAAGACTGTACGTTTCGTGTCTTGCCCTCGTTTGTTGTTCTGCTGCCCTACAAACGCTAGTTTGGAAGTAGGTAATAGTATGCGTGATATGAACAGATCTCTATGCCATTTTGCAGAGATCAAATAGGTCTGCTTAGTCAAATTGACCATTGCAATGTCACCCTGCTGGAGTCCTCAGTATCGTTACTAGTTTTTCTTTTCCATCTCAGATAGTGTTATGAAGCATGAGGCCAATGAAAAGGCGTTCGACAGTTTTGCTAGCAACGCTAAGGTGTCAGACGCCACCAAGTCGGTCACAATAACCAACCAGATTGAAGGTATGTTCTTCTGCATAGCGTAGTGTGGTCCCGCAAACGGCAAACAGTTTAATCCATTAAACTTCTGTATTGATTAAATCCTTAAGTATTATTTAAAATACAATTAAAGAGGGACATATTTCTACATCCAACTTTGTCGCCATCCAGCTGTTTAAAGCAGTGTTCACTCAAATGACAACTTTAGAAAATCCCAACTATTTTTCCTATTCTTTTACTGTTCTTTGTCCTCAGATTTCATAGTAGAGATGGATTTGGTTGTTATTCAGAGTTTCTTTTTAATTTGTTATTAGTTTGTAAAAGCGTTGCGTACTTTGTTTGGCTTCCCGTTTGACAAATTATGTGAAGTAGTACTAGGCATCAGTGGATTTAGTATTCGAAAAGCAACTACTATCAGGTAAAACTCGTAAAATAGGTTTTAGAAACTGGTAGGAACATTGTCAAACAAATAAATGAAGGAAGGAACGATACGTTTTAGTAGCTATTTAAATTCATTTGCTGCCGTCAATAATAAAATTCACCAAGGGTTTATGTCTGAGTTGTTGCCTTATTAGGAATAAACAGAGCATCTTAGATTTATTGTCTTGTTCGTTGGAGTGACATTATTTCCTATCGTTTAATTGGGAAGTTCGCCAAAACGAGATGAAAACCATGGGCTTTTGTTAAATGTGCCCTTATTGACCAGGGTTATTTCAGTTCCCCGTTCTTACTTTAAAAATGTCGCAGTTTTTTCGGTATATTCCAATTCTGTGTGTCTACTCTTCCGAACCGTGACGTCTGGGTATCCTTTTTGTGGGTTCCATGTTTTTGCATTTGTAACCCTCAATAATTATTGGGTTGGTTGTCGTATTAGTTATTCACGTAAAATCATCCGTCGTCTTCGGGGTTTTGAGATGTAGATAATGATGCCTGCATGAATGATTATTCTGCACCATTAAATAATCACATTTCATCTTTTGTAAACAGTTAAAGGGTTTGATGCTAGAGTTGTTTGAATGTTTTAACGTGTCTGTTACTCTTCCCTTTGAAACGCCTGACTGCGGATTCTCTAATGGCTTTTCACGATAGGATTTCTAAAAGCTTCAAGTGCCTGTTTTTTTTTTTTTAAACGGAATTCAGTTTTCTTTATGTTTGTTGGTAGCTTTTGTCCACTTCTTCCAGTGGTCTTGAGGATATTTTCCAAATATTTAAAAGCAACGATGGCCTGTCAGGATTAATGTAACACGAAAACGGCTTCTCAAAGGTTTTTTGGGTACACTAGCGCCCCTCAATACAATCACACTCTTATTGTCTTGTCTTTTTAATGGTAGTGTTTTATGCAGTAGATAGACTGTTAATAAAAGTTTCATAAATTTTGTTGATTGATTCGAAGATTAGCGAAGTTTTGTGCCTGAAGCAATCATTATTTTTCACTTTCCTCGAAGCTTGATGCCTTTTGCAGCCTTTGGTTGGCCCTATTCACAGAGCATTTATTCCTTTGTAAAGACAATTTATGAAAAGTCTCAGATTAAACTACTTAGTTGTTGGAGGTACTATCGGCTGTCCACAGGTATGCGCTGTTTGGTGCCACTAACTTCTCCTTTCATCTGTACTCATTCTGATTCAAGTATTTCATGTTTCATAAACACGGTATAGATGCCGAGGTTGATTATTTATCCTTCTAAATAACTCTGGTCTTCAAGTTATGAACTTAAAGATGAATTTGTTGGTCAACGAAAGGAATCTACTAGTGAGTTTACGGAGTTATCAATTGAGGGGAGTGCGAAATGAACAGTGATAATGATTTGTCGAAAAGTCTGGGTGTTCTTTTGCATTTTTAGATGCGGTCTTAACCTTCATCGCCTTGGTTTCGAAATAAAAAGCTTCATGCATAATTTGTCAACCCAGTAGTCCAAACACAGCCGTGGTGTCTGTATAATAACCACTTGTGTTGTCAATCTTTTTTTTCAGCGGAAACGCATCGTCCCTGGACTTGGGCCGAGCAACGGGCGCTGGAGAAGGCTCTGCGAGAGAATCCCACCCGACCCGATGAGCCAAGCACCGTGCGCTGGCAGCGCATCGCCGACGAGGTGGGCACGCGGACCAGTCGCGAATGCGCTCAACGCTACAAAGACCTCGTCGAACAGGCACGTCTTGTCTTGCCCCAAGCCCTTGTTTAGTCAATATATTCTCTTCTGTGGACTGTTTGCAAGCTTGTTTGTGGCTTTGGTAGCTGGTTTGTCTTGATATATTGATTCTGGTGAGGCCTCGTTCTGTGTACTTTCCGCTCTGCTTACTTAGGTATACTCGGTCTACTAAAATCTCCTCTTAAGAATGTTTTACAATAATGTCTCTGAAGTGTACAGCGTTGTTTGTAAAGTGGCGTTGCGTGTGTGCTTTCTTGCGAATCTAACTTGTCTCGAAGAATGCAACTTTTGTATTCATGATCATCGCCAGGTCTCGCGTTTCACCAAAGCGTTGCAGATACTTTGTGTAGACTGTGGTAGTTTCTACTGCGTTTATCTGATTGATTAATGTTAAATTTACCTTATTCTTTGCTTCACATTCCAGCAGGATTTTTGATTGGTATATTATTGCTACTGCAATTGATTACGATATCTTTTTAAAGGATCCCTTCTTCCCTTTTTTATCAGATCCGCAAGAAGAAAGCAGCGATGGCGGCAGTCGGTGTTTCAAGCAAAAAGTGGTAGGAACGCCCCTGTATCGTGCTCACCTCCATTGAGCCGTTTTTGCAATCCCGACTTAAAATAAAACTTGTACACATATCTCCTACTTTTTTACGTCCATCTGTTTTTCAATTTGTTAAGCATCCTACTAAGATCTTAGGATTAGGTTCAATTGGGGGATCACATTCGCGATTGTGGTATTATTCACGATTAGGGCATTTGTGAGCTGAATGAACACGGGAAGCTTATGTAATCGTAATTTAGGTTCACTGAAAGGATACGGGTCTTTTCTAGGCTACTCTAAGTTGCAGTCAAATATTTAAAGTGCGGGCTCTTAGTCGGTTCCGGGCACGTGGCTTGCTTTGTTCGAAATGCTTCTGCACATATGTTGGTTACTCGGTGGTTAAAGTACAGTAAGATACTAGTGAGCCATTCCTTCTTGGCTTGAATATGCACTTTGGATAGCATTGTAATGTTTCTAGGACCACTATGAAGATTCAATGGCTTCAAGCTACTCTGTCTTTCGTTTACTTAATTGCTAATTATTTGGTTCGCAAAATAATTTAAAGGCTTTCTGATGGGATTGCGTTTACCAGTCTATCACGTCAACAAGTGTGTTGGAGTAAGCATCCACGATGGAGGCTCGGTGATATTTCAACCTTTTATATGTAATTTTTGGCATCGCACTTCAGAACAGCCACCTTCCAGTTCAGTGCGACGTTCCTTGTAGTTATGATCTATATCGTTAACGGATATTGTAAATGTTAAGCTTCTTCCTCAACTACATAACCACTCATCTACACATCCAGCATCTACTTTTCGTTCTGTCTTCGCAAATCTTCTCTTGGTCAAATCTAAGATCGGAAATCTTGAGCACACTACACCGCGCAGTGCAGTCATTCACGAACTCTTCATTCTGATCATGAAAATTTGCCTTAGTGAGAACCCTACCCACAAGTGGCGACAGGGATGGACCTAAGCCTATACCTCATGGTGGACCATTACTCCCCAGGTATAATTCATAAAACAGAGAACTCCTCATTATGTATTGCCAATTTTTATGCTGCGACAGAAGTGTTAACTGTCCTGCCAGCTTTTACCAATTTCAAGCGATTATAGCTATCATCTCATTTTTGTGTATCAGTATGATTATATTCACCCTCAAAATTTATGGTGTATTCATTAATAATCCTCTTAGAGTTCTTACCATTCCTGCTTTGGAGTTAAATGTTAAGAGGGAGGCTGCTTTACTTTTGCGCACAGACCGAGTCTGCACTGATGATTGACTATTTAAACTGTTGCTCAAACACTGGCAGAAATTTAACTTTAGTCTTTATGCTCCAATCGTCTCTATCTTCCTTCTGTATCCACACACGCACACGCAACTTAAATACACAGTTTTAGCGTCACACACACACGTCTGTATTTCCTTCTTGACTGTGCCTACGCATGCATGATGTACAAACCAACTGCTTCTCTTTTTTTCTTTTTTACTCTCTGTGGAACTGCAAGTTTTGGGGAAAGTCACGGTAGTGATTATAACCCCGGCAGCAAATTAAATCTCACCGATGTTGACGTTATCATTTATATTGGTTACCGTATTCCCTCGCACGGTCCGCAATTGCTGGCAGGCTTGATCGAGGACTTGAACGAAGTCCACTCGGTAGGTGAAAGTTCCAGTGGAAAGGTTTGCTAACTCCGTCTTTAAAGATGTATCCCCAATTTGATAACACTCATAATGTCTACACACCCCGATATACGCCTCAGAGAGTTAGGCGGGTGGTAAGTGACTGCCTTTTGGAAATATTTTTGTGGTGTTTGCGCTTATTCTCTGGCAGATCTTTGCACCAACAGGGGAGCTGTCATCTAAGACTGATGGCACTCTCGACGTCTACAATTCCGCTACAAAAGCCGCCACTTTGTGAGTGCTACATTGATTTTTACATAATGCGGCCTCATGGCAATGCTGCCATTAATTACAAAAGAAGTAAAGTACTTAGGGTGATTGGTGCTAGCTCCTCCCTGGTTCCATTCCCTTTCTCCTTTTTCTTCTTTTGACACAGTTGTTTTCATTAGGGACCGGCACTAACATCAGCTCAATTGCTGTGTTACTAATACTGATGTGTAATTACGACACCGTTAGGATTACGGCAAATAGCACAATATAAACTTGGCAGCCCACTTGGGTTGTTTTGCTGGCCGATCCCGTGTCCTGCCTTTCGTCGTGCGTGCGTGCTAATGGAGCTGAGTTGGGACTCTGAAGCACAACATCTTGCGTCATCACTGAACCCATGATTAGACGCATTCCACTTTCTAATATCTTTCCTCTAAACCTACATTTGATCTTACTTGCACTTATTACCGATTATTTGCAAACTGTCAAACGCTTTAAGTAAGAACACACAAATTATCCGTGAAAAAGACTTAAATCCATGCATAGCACTTTATGAAAGTTGTGAGGCTTTATAGAGGAGCAGATGCTAGCCCAAGTTCTGCTACTCAGGTTTTACAAAAAAAATTCTCAAATGTACTTTAGTCTTCCACCAAATACCACCATATTTGCAATCATACTCACTCGAAGTGTCGAATGCTTCATATCATTGAATACCATCCAAATTAGATACAGTTTGCAAGAGTGACGTGTTAAAGCCCAATTCTTCCCTATAAGAGGATTCAGACAGACTAAATACTAGAAGAACAGTTTACTTAGTAATTAAATGAACAGTTAAACAAAAAAAAACAAAATGCTACAAAGGAAAATTTACAACATAGATATTTCTCAAATGATGTATGTAGTTTTACTTGCATGGCTTAAATTTAATTGATTTTACAAAGGCCACACGCAAGCCTAATACTTATTGTCATTAAATCAACAGGGTGAGGTGGAGTCGTACCTTGAGCCTAAAATTAAAAGGAGACATCACGTTTGCCTGTACAGGCATGAATTTTCACGTCTGTATTTAACCGGAATTCGTGTTCCCATCCAGAGCGTACCTTGGGGCATTCAGGGACCGTGAGAGTATTCTTATTGTGGTTGGTTCGGATGTTGTCGACAACCTGACACCATGGCGGGCGAAGAATATGATAGAGCTTAACATTGCTTTGGGCTTTTTGTATCCTTTGTACCAGGTAGGTCGCTTATCACAAATCTCTGCATGTGTATATTTATTTTCGGTGAATACTCTCTGGTTAAAAAATTAGAACTAGTAAGGGGGAGGTTTTGCCAATTCCTGTTGAGTAGAATGGGGTTAAATTACTAGGTTCCTGTGTACCTTCAAAAGAATGTTAACGATGTAGACAAGATGGCATTATCAATCAGTAAATAGAATTTAAAATATGCAATTAAATGCACGAAAATTCAGTGCGGCAAAATGACACCAAATAATAATGCTCAACAGAAAGCTGTGCCTTTATGATATAGGACTACAGGGAAGAGGAAAATTACATCCTATACGAGCCCATGGTATTCTAGTTAAGTTACTTATGAATGCTTAGTTGAGGTTCAAATCCAACACTTATGTTTCAGCCTCAGAACAGAATACAGAGGTATGAACAATTCGCCCTTTTTAACGCCTCAAGAGAAGTGGCTAAGTTCTCCGAAAGCATCGAAAGTGGGCGACGAATTGCAAGACACATAAGCAGCAGACAAAATGGTGGCTGGAATCACGAAAGCCTTTTGTCATTGCTTCAATCCACTTTTCAAGATAATGTCATTCATGTGGACATTTTGAATGCTTCAAGTGAAGGCTATTCTTCAGGTGAGCCTCGAGAACCTCTCTGCAGATTTCTTTGCCATTTTTGAGGAAACACCAAGGTGACGTTTGGGTAATTGCGGGAAAAGTAGTAGTGTGATCCTTCCTCACAAACCCCGGTTGACGTAAAGACACATTAAGTATTATGAAGGAAGGTTGTCAAACAAAAAAGCTATTTCTCGCAAGGTTCCTCTAAACTGCTATTTTGGCTTCAAAATTTACCTATTGATGTAGTAAAACTTGCTTATTGGCTGCTCCAACTTCCTTCTATTTGCTTTAATGCACAAGCTTGGTTCAAATGGCAAATTTATTTTATATTTAAAAGCGTTTCAGTCCTCATATATTTTATTGAATCATTAATTTGTCACCATCCTAAACTATATTTTCGCATTCTACACTGGGTCTTCATTCTTCACCCATAAATGGTACATTTTAAGGTACAAATTTCCGAAGAGGCTTACCGTATCTTAGAATTATTTTGACCTCCGTTCGGCATCTTGAATCGGAAAATTTTTAGCTATCTAGCTATCCAATTTTCGAGCCAGTTTGTATGGCTGGACTAACAACTACCTGTTTCTTTGAATGCTTGAAGGATCTTTTTCCGGAGGAAAGGTTATTCACTTGAAGTTCAAGCCGGACAGCGCTGGAAGCACAGTCTTCTTGATCAGTAGCAATGCAATTGATCGCGGAGTCGCCACCATTGTCGGGTTTTTCGAAATCGTTCGGCAGTTGCAACCAAAAGAAACGGAATTTCAAGCGATAATTGGCTGTTTTAACGATAGTCGCAATTTTCTGTCAGGTCTTAATGGCAATCCGATGAATGAGGTAAGCAATGTAGGTGAAATTACATCCAGAGGTAGTTGTTCAAAGCACTGAAGCCACTCTCTCTTTTTATCTACTTTGCTTTGGTTATAGGTCCTCGGTGTGCCGATTCCTAGCAGAAATGCAGACGTCTACGTCATCGGAGCAGACAATAGAGACCTAAAGAAAAAGGTTAAATGTCGCTTTTGTCTTACAGTGCTATATTTAGCTCCTGATATGGTAATCTTGTCTCACTTGCATACATTAATGCTACATTTCACTTTCTGCCTCTTTAGTAATAATAATAACAACTGAGTGATACTGATCTAATTCGCCTCAGGGGGACACAAGATTTACCGAACCCGATTAGTTTATTAAAACTTACCTAGGAGACTGGTAATATGCCATCAGTATCTGAGGCGTCTTTGTTTTTCTCATGCGCAGGCATACGATTACTATGGTCAAAAGTTGGACTACGAATTCGGACCATTAATGGCCGATAATGACGTGGATACTTTCGTCAGGAAATCTGTAAGTTTAGTGACTAATTATCACACTGATTATTTGCTTTAACTTTAGCTATTTTTGCTTCCAATTCATGTCGTGAAAAAACACTCATAACAAATGCTTTAACCTTGTCGTTGAACCTTCAACAATAGCACCTATTAAAACACCCAAGGCCGAAATCTGTTTTTAGTTTATTGAATAATTAGTTCATTGAATATTCTTCCCATTTATTTCAGGTTGGTGACAAGGGATCAAAAATGGTCTTTTTCCTGGAGCAGGATAGTGGTAGTTCTGTCAACCCATTGTATTCAACACCCATTGCAGGACTTGTGACACGCTACCTGCTAAAGCCTGCCAGACAAAAAAATTATCTGTATCAAGATGTGCTGCAATAGCACCGGTGCATTATTTTTGTTGATTGTTTAAGCCGATCAAATGAATTCGTTTGGTTTTCCACAAGGAGTAAATAAACGCAAAACACTACTTCAAGTGTTTTTACCTGTTTTACCAATCACCGCTACAATCCATAAGTACTGCCCATTCATAAATGTCTGCGCTCTACCCAGTTAGTGAGGAGGTGGAGGCGATATCACGGAGCATGATTTTCATCGCTAATATTTTGCATGCTTTGATAAGATGTTGCGATCGGATTTTAGGCTGATAAAAGACATGCTATGAGAGCAAATGTCACAATCAGATGGTTCTTGTAAGAACTTGCGTTATCTTCATTGTTCTGTCAGAGGGGGAGTCTCCTGCACAAACGCCAAAAATAAGGTATTTAGAGTGATGCAGCACCGCAGGCATCCAATTGTTCAAGCGCCTGTGGCTGCTGTCATTACTGTCACTTTAATTTACTCCGGCAGCGGTTGGCTAACCAGATTGTAAACTATATCTGCCCTGATTTCTACTGCTAGGTGATAAACCTTAGCGTTACGAAAAAGGGCAACTGCCGTAGATGAGACATTATGAAACGTCTTCTGACAGAATAGATGAGAATAACATCTATTTTCGACTACCCCAATTCCGTGTTCTTCAGGAAGGCAAATAAAAGAAGAAACTGGTACTCGTTCCTACCGTGAACCGTCTGAAAAAGTTCGTTACAGAGTTGTCTGCAGTACCTGTATAAAGATGTCGAATAAGGCAACAGGCGATGCCTCTACCCATCCACCAGATGGGCAGATCCCAGATAAAGAGAGTTCGACAGCGCTGAAGTGAGAAAAAATGAAAAGGGAAAAACTGACATTAAACCTTTTTTTCACGAAACTGATTTGAACCCCGTCATTTATTAAATGACTCAGATTTTGGGTCAAAATTCTTACAAGTAGCGTTGTGCATTCGAGACGACCAGCACATTGCCCCCTCCCCCTAATACATTTCCCAAACGGGGCCAACTTTAGATTCGGTAGAAATGTTAGGAGGGATCAGTGGTGGTGTGATCAAATATCTTCCCCGTTGCAAGCAAATTAAATAAATGGCGTGGTTATTTCGTGGGTGCTTTTCATTTAGCACCCGTTACAGGGGCTGAATGTGGGTAGCGCCGGGGCGACGCTGTAAAGGAGAGGCTGGCTAAGTAATGCAAACACGACTCAATTTGACTGATTTTAGAGCAATACAAATGCATACTAAAATAGACCTCATCTGTTAACACCGTAAAACTCATATTTTACTTTATAGGTAAAAACAAAACTGTGTCTACCATACTAAGGGCTATCGGTGTTCCATTTGCCAGTTTGACAAGTAGCGTTGTAAAAGAGTATGTTTGCTTGGCCTGGAGGTTCGTATTTTTACTTAGGAAGCCAATTCTGGCATAAAAAGAAGAAGAGAAAGAAATGGGAACAATGCGCAATTTTGTGAACCAATTTTGAGCACGAATGCTTTTTTGCGAGCTTTAAGCCACAAATCTGCACTGTTCCAGGATTGGGTAGGCTTACGAACGTGATTTGAAATGCTTATGGATGCAGAACCCAAAAATGTATTACGGTTACTGTTAAAGTCCTTAAATGACCAGATTTTTTTAATGAGGATGATCACTTGTCATTTTCTAAACAAAATTTACTGATATATAGTTGGTCCCAGGAAATATACCTGAGAGGCAGTAACTAAGCCCCTGCTCCATTGGTTGGCCGTAGCTTTTACAATTTGTGCATTTGATGAAAAAATAGCCAAGGATTCTCACTTCAATAATATACACACATGTCTTCAGTATGTTTACATATTTCACCACACTGTTTACTTATGTCTAGGGTCAGGCAAGTTTATTGGCTCTGCAGAGTAAGTGAAAATCAGTTCAGCTCCCGCAGCCCACATTTTCGTTTCAATCAGTCATGAAGGGGATATCGTTCCTTCTTCTTCTTACCATCGACCCACCAGCCGGTGCTGTTGGAGGTTTGACACTTCTTAGTGAACGTGAAGTGAATAAACAATGGTTCATCTGGAAGCAGCAACATGGTCAAGCGTATTCAGAGAAAGAAGAGGCCTATCGCAGAAGCGTATTTGCACGAAACCTTCTTTATGTCAAAGGCCACAATATACGCGTTAAGGCTGGGCTTGAGAGCTATTCGACTGCTCTGAACCAGTTTGCTGATCTAGAAGTTAGTGAGTTCACTGAACGTTTTCTTGGAACAAGACCGGAGAGTAGAGTAGCCGGAAAGAGTGGAAAGACTTGGAAAGCATCCACCTCTGTTTCTGATCTTCCAGACATGGTTGATTGGAGAGACAAGAATCTTGTCACAGAGGTCAAAAACCAGGTGAGATTTTTCGATGCACTGAATTCGAATTTCCTTGTAATTCTTCACCACGCAATGAATTTTGAAAGTGATTAGCTTGATGCAACATGGATTAAATTGAGCAAATTTGGAAGTATTGTCTCTAATTTTCGTTTAGTGGACTGATGAGTTAATGTATGTGGTAGTCGTTGTGTTAATGTGATTTAAGAGAGCTAAGTGACCTTGTCTTATGAATATTAATCTAAACCATCAGCAAAATCATGTGAAGATGATATACCTGCATTCCTCTTTATCATTCTGAATTGCTTCAATTCTCCTTTATCTTACTAATAATTCGAGCAATCCGTTAATGACACTTTCAGGGCAATTGTGGGTCGTGTTGGGCGTTCTCCTCAACAGGCGCGTTGGAGGGCGCGTTGGCCAAGAAGACAGGCAAGCTAATCAGTCTGTCCGAGCAGCAGCTGGTTGATTGTACACTGGAAAATGGTAACGATGGTTGCAATGGCGGCTACATGTCCAACGCTTTCAAATACCTTGAGGGACACTCCATCGAACCTGAGAGTGCCTACCCCTATCGGGCCACTGTGAGAACTTTGCACTTTCTTACTCGATTAAGGCGATGATTTAGTATGCTTTCTTCCACTCAACCAAAGACACGTCCAGTCGTCAATTTCGATTAAGCATATCAAAGTATTTTCTTACAGTGTGACTTATTTTTAGCGCGGTTTAATTCGTATAATCCATATTTCGAATTAACTTCCCAGTAATGATTGGTCTGAATAGTTTAAAGTTGCTTTTTGTTATTTTAAAATGGTTTAATCTAATTTAGAAGTATGAAGTATTCCATTCTCAGTGGAGTGCTGGGAGGTTAAAAATTTTCACAGTTGACTTAAATCTAAATCTGAATACTTCCCTCTAATTACTCAATCTCGTAAATTCTATCCTTGGATCAGCTTCTGTGGGAATAAGCTAGTCAGTCTGAAGAGAGCGTCTGAAAGTGTATGTTTAATGAAATGACCTTGTTACCTTCATAAATTATTTCAGCTGAAAGTTTTGGAAGCATGAATTCTAAAATATTATTAAAGATAAAAATGAGTTCTGATTACTTCAATTTTTATGATCATAACTCTTGTTTTTAATCATGCTAATATTTGAATTCAGAGACCTAATTAAACTCTCATTTCTGTATCAAATGATAAATTAATCACACGGCTAGTTAAAGCAGATGATGTGAATTTTAAAACCTGTAGGGAAGAATGCTGCGATTGTTTTGTAAGTCATTTGGAATGTTATTTATAAATTCTTTCTAGGTCGGTGTATTAACCTGTGGGTAAAATAATGCGGTCAGTGCATTGGTTTTGCCGTGAATTTGATGTTAAAATGTCAGCGACTGTCTCTTGATTCTAAAATTTCTCTGATTCTCTACTCCCTATCTGACATGGAAATAGATCGTGTACCTGCTCCTTTTTATTCATAGAATCAATTGGTATGGTACTGAATTCATATCAGTAGCAAACGTGAATATGTTGATTTTAGGATGGTCCATGCCGTTACAACGAAAGTCTTGGCGTTGGAAGCGTCACCGATATTGGCGATATTCCAGAGGGGAACGAGACGGCTCTCATGGAGGCGGTAGCCACAGTTGGCCCGATTTCGATTGCAATTGATGCCAGCACACTAGGCTTCATGTTCTACCAGCAAGTCGCAACAAATCCTTCCCCTCTCATTTGCTTACGAAGTTCTACATGCAGTTCAATTGAGTGCATTATGAAGTCGACAGAGCGGTCATAGCAACCTCATTTTCTCCCACTAAAACAGTTTAAAAAATCTAGTGTATTCATATTCAAGGTTATTTTACAACCGGTCCAAGTATATGTCAGATATTTACAACAGTAATTTTGAGTTATAACTTTCGAACAAAACATCTAACCCCAGGGATCTGAGCTGTTTTCACAACTTTTGTACAAGCAAAGATTATCGGACTCTTCGTGTTTTAAAAGACAGGCGATTAAAATAAATCACAGCTAAAAAACCCAGTCCTTATTTTTCGCCTTTGACCGACAATTGCCTTCTCAAATCATTCCCAACGGGGATTCATCTTGATGCAAGCAGTTTTATCCATGCACTCCATTCTCCTTATGTGAGGCTAAGTTAAGGCAGAACATGTAGATTCAACCGTATTCACTATTGCTCCTTTCCGCTTGAGGATGACAAGACTATATCATAACTTTGATGTTTCGATAAGTCTTTTACACATCCATGTTTCCTTTTCGGGGAGAAAAGCAACCAAAGAATTGTAATTTGTTTTTCAAATACTTGCTGGCATAATAGCTCACTTTAGTTTACTCTGGTGTATTATATGGTTAACCTGTTTAAAGCATAAGTAATGTTTAGTGGGTTTTAAGGTAGTCTTTCAGCATTTTCAATCCAATCCATTTATTTGCATTTTGATGAGAGTCGCTTCTTCGAAGTTCTCATTCGAATAATATCACTTATTGCACTCAAAAAGCATACACGATACCTTTAAATGTACAAAATTAACTAAACTTAGTCTCAAATCAGTTGGAATAATTCTCGAACCTGGCCGAGTACCCCAAATGCAACCATTAATGCTAACTCCATATCATAAGTTTTGCTATAACAACCTGCCTGCCACTTTATCTTAATGTGTTGATTTTTTAAAATCTTGAGTCACTGTTCTTACCTGCTGCCGATGAAGACTCGACCCCTTTTGCTCATTTTAGCCATGGAATCTACAAAAGCCATTGGTGCTCGAGCAAATTCCTCAACCACGGCGTTCTTGCGATTGGTTACGGAAAACTCGACGGAAAACCCTATTGGTTGGTGAAAAACAGTTGGGGCTCCAGGTGGGGAATGAAGGGCTACATAATGATGGCAAAGGACTACCACAATATGTGTGGTGTTGCATCCCTGGCTGATTTTCCATACGTTTAAACATTGTATTCCCTACTACCGGTAATACTTCAAGCGTCGGAACAAAACCGCATTATATTTTGTATTCACATCTTGTTTAGAGTATTGGAGTGATTGGCTGCCACGCATCGTTTAACCCTTGTTAATCCATTACTGATTGTTTATGATACCTTATTTTATGATTTCCTGGCAGTGTTTGTTAGGCGTCAGCTTAATATGCCTCAACCATATTCCTTTTTTCTCCTCCAACACCAGGCAAATTATTTAGCTATCTCAAATGCGTAGCAACTCTTAACATTCTTTTGCACTGTTTCACGATGTCAAAATACATTTCGACCATGCCTGCAACCAATTAAATGCTAATCCTTATCAGATTATCCTCAAAAAACTTCGAATTAGTGTACATTCGAAAAACTTTCTTTGATTGGTAGTCATCTTACTACTGACACTCAAGTATTATCAATATGTATTCCTGGGTCGGTGATTCTGCACAATAGTTTTCTCCACTTCCATTATGTTGATCTAACCGAAGTTGCACGCATTTGACTGTTTGCATTTAAACCGCCAACTTGCATTTATATGCTGAGGTTTCTCTGTTTACGAGTGCCGACTACTCCAACACCGCCACTACGACACGAGGGTAGCTTCACTCTACCCCCCATGTGTACATATGACCTCAGAACAAAGTACGCAATTTGAGCGAAAGAGACGTCACGACTTTGCTGCCCTCAAACTCCGGCACACTCCCACCTGGTCTCATTTAATTAATACAGGCAGCTAATTTAAATGACCTGTCCATTCACTTCGGTTGATATCTTGAATCCCAGCATTGCATTCTACAGTCATTTCGTGGATAGGTCGTCTACTCTTATTGCTAATAAAATTTGCTGTGAATAATAGAGATAACCATTCTCCCGCCACGCACATGGTCTTTCTCAAGTAGCTTTCACGAACATCAAAGGCTCTACCCAGTTTCTTGTGATGAAATTTCGGCGATAAGCCACTGCCATAAATCAACCCTGTACAATAGTAATTATGAAGTAGTGATATCCTTGAGAACCCGTTCTAGCTCCCTTCTGATAAACGCATAAAACCGATTAAATCCATCAGAAATTGTCCTGGATGTCGCCACACCTTCTTCAATAGTTTTGAGTGAAAAATCTTGAGGCCTCTCGTAGAATCAACACGATACACATCTGGTATATCGTAGGCTACAGTTTCCGTACACTCCGAACATTGACCGTTCCGTGTCAAAAAGGTGCATCAAGCATGTTGACTGAGGTGGCAACCAACAGTGGTAGTGGGTGCATACGTGGAACAGTGGTGGTCACTTGTTAATGAGGGTAGTAGAATCCCCGGATATCAGCTCTTACAGAAGCACGGCATGGTGGTGGGATATTCGACCGCGATAAGCCATTAAAACAGCCCACAGGCCCAACAGTCATGCCGGCAAATATCTATTGTGTTGAATGGCCAACTTTTAACACTGCCGAAGCGGAGCCTGACATGCGAATTTGTGGAGACGGTGAACACAACATAATCATTCTCGAACATTTCCAATTTCGAAAAGTTAGTGCGCTGGTACCATAACAAGTGGCGTATTCCAGAATGGTGTAGCCATACTAACGAGCCTTCCTGAGTTAAATCTCTTCAGGGTACCAGCAGAAAAAGAAAATTAGCATGCGTTTAGTTCCCTGTCCTCGTAGTACGCCACTGAGAGCCACTTTTTACGAGTATTTATGGACTTCCCAGCTCCTTTTGCATATATTTACCTTATTGCAGCGAGGTTAAGTAGTGGAGGGAGAGAGGGAGAAATAAACCGTGTAGCATGACACAGAAAGACCATTTCATCAGCGGTGACATCAAATTAGGTAGAGCGGGAGGAATGAGTGCGTGAGAATAGTAAAAAAAGAAGTACGAGAGGGGGAAGGAGCGACGAATGTGTGACGAGGAGAACCTCAAGAGGGAGAAGTGGGTGTGACGACGGAGGTGGAATGCGCCAATTCATTGCCCACCTGATAGGAGGCAATTTTATCCCAGTCAATCTTGGACTTAGCCATTGGCAACTGACGACGCAGCGCTTTGAACCATTTACTAGACATTTCGGTCAGATTGCTTCCGATCGCCTGCTGAAAATAAAGTACCTTCAACTGTAATTGAATACTTTGGGAAGCAGATGATTATATCCAAAGTATTATTTTCGAAATAAGTTCTAGAACTCGCAGTCGATTTAAGAAATCTATAGCAAAATCAACTTCGTCGTCATTATAGCACCGAGTGAAGTTGAAAAATAAATTGGAACATGGATGAGGAAACTCTTGAAGAATAGGTTAAAAACCACCTGAAATTTATTTCGTATCACCAAAGTAATCCAAATTTCATCAAGCTATGAGAGCTAGTTTTATTTCAGCTCCAATAAGGTCGTTTTAAAAGAGTGCTATAAAATACTGCTCTGAGTTGTTAGTACAGGTGTCCGTTTGCAAACTCCTCGAAATGGGTGATGAAACAAACTATTCACATTACTACTTTTGACATCGATATCACCGCAAGCTAGAGACCATAAAAAGGTCTCCCCACTTTCAAATGCAACTTGATATTGCATCCTTCAAAAGGGGATTACAGTAAAAAAAGTTCCACGAAAACGCCACTTTCAGACCACTTAAGAACACTAATACAAGGATAACATCACCCGGTAATGCTTATATAAAGGCACACAACTATTCATACCTGAAGCAGTAAGTTTACTTGCATTAACAAAGATGGAAGTATAGCTGTCTGGTGTCAAGATAATGTCATGTGCGATTTAACGCAGTCTACTTTAAATTAATTCATCTCGAGGCAGTCAATTTACCATTATTTTCACAATAGCGATTCGTCTCAATTGAAAAAGTAGGTTCAGATTTAAATGTCGATGGGACATTCATGAATCGGTGAGTAAAAAGTGAGTCAAATCTCATTAAGGCAACAGATTCATCAAATTAAAGGTTAACAAATACTAAATGACATCAGTACAATTGAAAAACCGCATCAGAACGAATCAACGCCCACTAGATACTGATTAATATAGTCGTATTTGTGATAGCAATAAAGAAATGTTAGTAAAAATAAACATGAGATCGTAGCTCAGGTAATGGGATTAAAAACAACAAGTACGCCTGATCAGGATGACCTCGTAGAGGTAGATGAGGCATTGGGAAATCAATTTCATATGGAAAGATAAATAAAGCTACGCAGGTACGCAGAGAACAACCCAAAGCGGGATGTGTGAATAGCAAAGGCCTATGCATGCATAAATACATCAAAAACCACCGCTACGACTATCCTATACACATTTACACACACAAAGGTCTTTTCTTGAAGTATCGATCAGGTTTAACGAAAGCTGCAGGTATGTGCATATGGGTGCGATACTTATAACAGCCTATGTGCGCATATAATGCTAAAACTAATAAAATGGATTTAAGCCGCCTCTCCCAATCCGAGGAGCATAACATCAACAATGATAACCTGACTTTGGGAGGAGAAAAACGAATTCAAAAACCCCAACCTGATAATCCGAATCACATTCGGTTATTTTCTTGCAAACTTCCCGTCCAAGAATTTCCGGTGATTTTGCTACAACTTCAAACTTGAATGACTTGGAGGAGAGAAGCTGAACGTTCCCCTCTTCAAAAATATGCGTCTAAAAATTGAGGAATTTGTTACTAGTGGGTAGAAAGGAAAGCACGATGCAGTGCTTCAGAAGGCAAACCTGGATTCTGATTTCGCCAGAACCCTGGCAGACTGCACCCTCGATTTCGTCAGGTATGGTCAATGTCCATTGCGACCTCCAGCGACCACTTCTATAACCAGTAATTAAATAAATTACTCGTGAGAAAAAACTTGAGGTAGTTCTTGAAAGATGCGTACCGAAAACTCTGCTGAAAACTAGATTCGACATAGATCACAATTGAAGGATTTTTGGAATCCGCTGGGGCAAACACGGAGACAGCACCATTGGGAAAATTTTGACTCATGTAGCCTGTGAGAGCACCCTCAATCGCAGCTCTCCAAGGTTCTAGTTTAATGCTACCACCTCCGCAATCATCAGGCCTAAGAGAGGAGACATCAGCCACAGAATGTGTAAAGAGATCAAGTCTGAAAGATTTATGTGACCTCGGACAAAGGAATTTCCCGTCACCCAGGTGCCCATGTTCAGTAACGAGGGTATTTACTGAACTTCCAGGCAAGGTGACCTGTATAGTTTGCTCCATAGCGTACTGCAGTAGACTCCTAAAGTAATTAACTAGTGTAGTGTGCAAACCTGAGAATTTTCCCCTCAATGAGAGAATTTTGGCCGGCAAGAACTTTGACATCTAGAGGAAATAATCGATATTACAACACGCAGGAATATTACCCTTGACCACTTCATTAGTTTGTCTGGGTGGGGCTAAAAGCACAAGACTTGCACCGATTTCTGCCTACAATTAGGAGTGAATTATTAGTATATTTGTACAAAAGTATGGAAAGAATAAACAACGGACCCTCTCGTCTGCGGAAATCTCATCACCCATTTCGGCACTCAAAAAAAGCGGTCTTTGTTCGAATGTGTAAAACAATATTGCGGCACTTGTTTAGCTATTTGAGTGATTTGTGAGTGAAAAACATGCCTTTGGAATTCACTTTGCTAATTATTTTTTGGCGTTTTAACTATTTTTGGCTACGTTCTTTAGCGTTACTGTAAAGTAAATTCAGACGTAGGAGTAGAGTCTCTTTCCTAAATGCAACCTAATCATTAGTACTGATTTTAATGATTTCTAGTACTTTAAACGGCATTTGAATAAAATTGGGCAGCAACTAGATCTTTCACAGTAACGATCTGCTCAACTTTTACTATAGTGCATTTTGGCGCATGCCTCGTTTAGCAGCTCCTATCTGGCCTTCATGCAATTTGAAAAAAAACAGACTGATTTGACTGAAACATATTTGTTAATTCGAGTCACCAAGAATCAGCACAGATTTTGGGGGGGTGGTCTACGAGAGAGAGCGTCTGTATTGAACTTTTAAATTGTGCTATTGCAGTTCCTCATGCCAGTGTGGAACTAAACGGTCTATCGCCTTCATTGTTTTCAACTAGGTGTGAGCCCTATGATCCATTTTAACCATGAACTGCCTTGCTAACAGATAGCGAACAACTCACATTGTGTTGTACTTTTCTATCTCAATTCTTTGCTGAGTCTGGTATTCGCGTAGGCGAAGACGCATTCTCTTCCTTCCTTCTTTGTCCCTTTGTAAAAGTACATGGCCTTCGGTTGCGTCACTCGCCCCCTTATCCGGTACGAAGTTAGATAATACCATAATCGGTACGGAGCAGCGCATTCGCTTTGGCTCCTTAAACACTTCATTATGCTCTTTCTCCAACATGAAATTCTTTCTCACCTGCTTTTCGGTTAATTTATGCAACGGGCCAGCAATCTTAACAAAACCCTTGATAAAAAGCCTACAATAATTTGACGAAACTAGGAAACTGTGGAGCTACATCTAATTGGATGGTGTTGGTCATATCCTTACTTATGTTGCACGGTCTTTGGTGACTGCCGTCCCACCTGACCAGACAGTGTGTCCCAGGAAGGTAATCGAGCATTGCAGAAAGCGGTATTTCTTCGAGTTTAGGGTCAGTCTTGCATCTTGCAGATGGTCCAACACTAGTTTCAGGTTGGGATTAAGCCCTGTGGATATCTCTCCGATAAACGTGAATATCACGGTGGTAGATTATGCAGCGCTTTGGGAACAAACCTTTTAACGCTGTTTGCATCAGGCATTGGAAAGTGGTGGCAGAGTTAAGGAGTCTGGAGGGCATTGTCCGAATTTTATAATGCCCTTTTAATAATATAAAAGCTGTCTTCTCTCAGTCCGTTTCCATCACTTCCACTTGCCAGTATCCTGAGTTTAAGTCTAGGATGGAGAACCGCTTTGACCCATGTAGGGAGGCTAGCGAATCGTTAACATGAGGTAATGGGAATACGTCCATCTTAGTTACGGCGTTCACCTTCCTCCAGTCTATGTACCATCGTAGGCTGCCATCCTAGTTATCAGCGCAAGCGGAGAGGCCCATTGTGAATTTGATTCTTTCCTAACCTCGTCCCAAATTATCCCTTCGGCTAGACTGTCTACTTCTAACACAGAAGGTGGCATGCATTTGGGTGATTCTCAGTCGCATCTAGCTTCGCCGGTATCTATTGTAGGCTTGACGATACTTGTTCGTCCCAGTTCAGCACCTTGAGTGGGAACGTGGTCGTGTACTTAATCAGCAACTCGCAAAGTTCTTTCCTCTCATCATCAGAAAGGTGAGTCAGCTGTGCGTTATGGGTAATCAAAGTTGTTCATGGGAACGGCTGCAGCTTCAAAAGAAGTGCTGCAGACGCCATCTGCGTCTTCTTTTGGTAGCGAAACACCTGCGCAGGTTTCAGTGCCTTGCTGGGTAGAAAAGGTGCCTTCTGAAAAATATTGAAAGGCTTTGGCATAAGAGAGAAAATTAGCACTAAGCGTCATGCCCCAAACCAGTTCAGGTTAGTGCCCCTATGGAGACTTCCAACTACGTCTCCCCTTTTATCACCCTCTCCCTTCTGCTGAACGTAATTTAGTAGAAGGGGAAAAGGTCAGAATATTATTACAAAGGGCGGAAAAAGCCTGGTGATTTACTAATGAGTTAGCTGCGCCCGAGTAAAGAAGGAAACTGCATAAACATCCTTCTGGTTTACATAAGACTAGAACAAATGAATGGGAGCCAAAGGAAGCAAGCAGGATGAGGAAAAGGAAAGCTCATCTTATCGTAAAGTATAGCGTGAAGGAGAACGATGTAAAGGTATTGAGTATGACCATCTGAAAGTGAGGCCACAAGGAGTTCCTGGCGCTTCATGTTTGCAAATTTGACCAGCTGACTGGGCGGGTTGGTCTTTTTGCTGCAGAGCTTCTTAACCATAATGGGTGGTCAGACTAGGTGTTTGAACTGGACGGTTGCCCAGTTAGCGACCCTGTTTGCAGATGAGCCTCGAATGGTGCGCTTTGCTAGATGTTGAAAATTCCTAGCGTACTCCTCGTTATTCCAGCCGGCTTTTAAGTGGTGGAGGAAGAAGTCTCTGGCAAGGGCCTCCACTTCCCAATCAATGACGAGTTGAGTTAAGGTGTCGCAGCATTGATTGATGTTAGTATCGTGGGTGATTTCGACCGAAAACAGACCTTGGAGGATGGCACGGAGGATTAGAGGCATTCTTTGGTGTTGAGGATAACGTTGAAAGTTTAATTTCGCGGTGTTAAGCCATTCTTCAAAGTTCATGCCATCTTTTAAAGAAGGAAGGTTCACCGGTGTTGGTACCAGTGTAGCGCATTCCTTGTTTATCTCTCCCTTTCTGGCTTTCATGATCTTTGAAGAAAATAGCTGATTTAATTAAGACATGTTTATTAGTCGGAATCAATGGGAATCAGTACAGATTTAGGGGGAGAGGGATACCGAGCTCTCCCCCGTTTCGAGAGATTCGAGTCTATTGCCCACTTCTTGCCTAAAAGGAACATTTGAGATAGCAAGTATTACTGGATGTCATAACTAGGCATTTGAGCACCAAATTACAAGCAGCATTAGTGGTATACAAGCAGTAATTTCCATCTTCAAATGCGATAATTCATCTTATAACCGGCATTACAATACACTGTTTAGAGCCTTGAATGATTCCAACACCTGAAAAGTGATGTTCTTTTTCGTCATCATAAAGGTGATTTAGGATTAGCAGTTTGTGGACTTTCCAACGTACAATCGCAATTTTTCGTTCCTTGTTTGTACAAATTTATTTTCCTATGATAATCACAATTTTACCTCAGGAGTGCACTCATTGCTTTAGCAAAATACGTCTTTCAAATGTGCAATGACTTATACCATAGCAGTCGTCTGAGCCATTCCCTGCGCCGAAATGGAGCATGTTAAAGAAGAATTGAAGGCCTGGCCCTTCGGTCATGCAACTAAAGTGGCGTCACAAGCTGTGGAGACTGAGGGTTATATATGTTATGCTTTTATGTATGAGTTAAATCCTGTGTATGACTATGTGGATACTCATGTCTCTACAAACTGCACTTTTGTTTGGTGGTATGGCCTTTGCACCATACCGGTAGCTTTTGAGTCCTTCAGTACATTATTTGTTTGTGTTCTGTCAACCGCAAGTATATATTTATACATGTACTGGAACAAATATCGTCTAAACATATTTCAGTACACAACTAGTAGTAATGCTTATGCAAGCGTACTTTTTCACTATTACGTATACACCTCGGTGATGATTAGACTGCGGTGATGTCTTGAATTGTAATGTATTACTCCGCTTTTCTCTAAAGACATTAAAAGTTGTACCAGAGTTAATGAAACTTTATTATAGGGACCGGTGTCCCTTTGATACTGGCATGGTGACTGTAGTGCCCCAAGACTAGGGCAGAATATGTACATTTAATGTGCAGCAGGGCTTGGGGCTACTGGCATGGCCTGGAGGTCAGCCCGCTCGGTGTAGGTACAATGGCAGAGCACCTGGGTGACACCTCTACCAAAAGTGGTAGTTAAACGAACTATTACGGGGTTACAGTAACCAAAATCCGCGGAGGCTAAAGAACTCATGCAATCGAATGAACGATTTAAACAGAAATCACCTTGATGCAGCATTGCAATTCATTTTGAAACGTTTTATTATATGAACTCTTTTAAGTCGTTTGCCAGAGTTGGTGGTGGATGACTTCTCCGATGGCCATAGTATGGCATTACTAAAGAGAACCAATCTGCTTTCACAGTATTTCGTAGATAGTAAACCATTATTGATACTTAGAACAAATTATGCCAACCTTAAGCCATATCTAGTTTAAAGACCAAACATGCTTTAATGGTTTGGGACTTTCTTAAATATGCATTTAACTACACGGGCCATTCAGTCACCGTAGATTGTAATTCCGCTTAGCTACCCAGTCTTCCGCAACGCCTATGACGCCCAGCTGTTCCGCAGCCCATTAATAAACCTTCAGGGAAGACTCGAGGCAACATGATACAGCAAACAGTTGGTAGGTTTTAAATTTCACTATTTATTGCACTTTAAAGAACAGAGAAAGTTTAGATTTCAGACCTTATTTACCGTTTGTAATTACCAGCATTCTATTCTTCTAGTTTATAGTTTAGTTCTAATCCTTTACAATCTAGGATTAACTTTCTCCATTTAGTCACGTACTCAGCAATGCGTTGTAAAATTCCTAAAGCGATTGCGGCTCTTTAGATGCTTGTGGTGCTTCACCTGCGTGTGGCGAGCGAACAGAGACATCACAAAGGCATTTTTGTCGGGACAAATCAAATAATTCAAACATTTAAAGGTGGGTGCAGGGTTTTATGAATTCTAAGGTACAATCAACTTCTGGGAGCTGTCATTCCTTTAGAAATGAATTTTTATCTACCCCCACTTATAAAATTTGTAATTTTAATATTTGGACAGTAATACCATCTCCAAATTAGGAGTGACCGCTTTGCAGCAATTGATACAAGAGTTGCAAAATTATTACAAGTTTATGTTGTATTCTAAAGATATGTATAAACGTATGCGATTCGGGTTCGCATAATAAACATGCTCAAAGCACATTTGAACCATTCAGTCGCAACATCAAGCAGCACCGAGAATAGCACCAACGGACCACTTTCTACCTCTTCAAAAAATTTGCGTTAAACAACTAAGGCCTGGGATTAATGTGCTCCTCGATTCCAAAATGCTGCCAGGACACCCGAGCAGGTCTTGCGTTAGTGTGACAACGGCATGGTGGCGATTAAGTCTGAGCCGCCATGCAATTCAGGAGATTTAAATTACCAGACTGTCGATTATTCCTCTGAAAGAGAAAGTAGGGACCAAAGTTAAGACATGTATAACTTGAATAAAAACCAGAAAAGAGGAAATTTCGCAGCCGATGTGCACAAATTTTGGGTTGTTAAAGGAGGATATTACAGATCGCCCAAAGTGATTTTTAAATCGGGGGAAGGGCATGTCAGTAGCCCCAAGCCCCATTGTACGTGGAATATATCTATCCTGCCCGATTATTATGTCTTCTTTTGCCTTCCGGGAGGTCTAAGTACACTACATGGTATCATATTATACAGTATCAATATACATTGCAGCTATTTTTGAGTAGTCCACCAACAGGTTTTCTACATTTGCAACAAGTAATGCACAGGTCTTCACTTAGTCACATTTAGATCGAATTGTGGAGAGCAGCAATTTCCTAAATTCATCTAGTATCATTCAAAACAGTGTTTCAATAACCCTCTATGAGGAAATTGTTAAAATTAAACCAAAAAATTGGGAATTTTCAAAATAGTTGTAATTTCTAAATGATTTGGTCCTCTTTTAACCCCTCTGGTGGGTGCACCTCTTGTACTAATAAACTCATTCACTACCAGCGCCACATATGTGTGACGCCCAAATTTTCTTACCTGAGTTCGTTACCGCACATACATACATACCCATTGTACCAAGTTGTGGTGAAGAGAGGTTGGTTGGATCTAAACACCAAAGTAGATGTTTGAATGTTGGCCAGGGCCAAAGGAGGGTAGTAGCCTTTTCCGGTTTTTGGACAGTGGTTAAAATGGTAAAATATGATTAGCAAATGGCTTAATGGCTGATTTTCCTCCAGGATTCTAGCAGCGGGCATCACAATCATTTCTAGCCCGGCCAAAAAAAATATGTAAGGGAGGCCATATTATAAATTTAGGTACATAAACTAAGCTGCTGCGTCTGATATCGTGCATTAAATATAAGCAGAGAAAGACTTGAAATTATACCTACACTACCTGCTCTCCATTGATGCCTATAGTTTGCGTAAAATTGGTTAAAAGTCACACTTAAAGGCATAAGACTGATGTGGACTTTTGCCTTCTCTTTACTCTGTTTATTGCGATATCGCCTCACTGATCTGCCTGCCATACGGATGATCCAAATTAGCCAAGTGACCTCATCATACTTAATAAATACTGTTTTTTGCCAATGTTTCCAAATTCCAATTCACTTTAGTGCTGTACCTAGAATGCGTTGGATGGGTTTTTAATATTGCGTTTGGGAGCAGGTGGTATCGTGTGATCGCTAAAAATGGCTGCAGCGCATCCACAACATGCTAAAGTGGGATCTGCAACGTCGTGTTAAAGGCGATTTAGTGATTCGTCGAGGTTCGGCTCACCTCCTTTCCATTACTTCATTTACTTTGTCAAAATCATGCAGCAGAACAGGTAGATCAAAAAGCAGAAACGATACTTTCGTAGCAGGTCAGATCAGTCCAATCCTGTCAGTTGTAACGTTTATGTGTCACATTAAATCAAGATGAATGAGAATTAAGATAGAAGGCAAAGCAAATAAAGCAATAAAGTTGGTCTATTAATATATCGGAACAGTTATAACAAACTGAAGAGGTTCATAAGTCGCTAATAATAGGATTCTAGAGAGACCAGGAAAGTGTCGCATCGCTTGAGGTTCGGCTGCCTTTGCTATCAGGATGCAGAAGCGAAGCTGTCTTGCATCGTATTTCTGAGAAAAGAAATCGACTTCTTTGCAGATTACTTAGGCGATGGTTGGATGAAGTAAACAAAGCGTATAAATAGTCAGGGGTCAAGAAGTAGCTAACGCCAGCATTCTGCTGGACCTCCCTGATATCCATTCAATCGGTTGCAATGGGTGCCTAATGCTACTAGATTTCATTGTTATTTGAAAGAACCACTCACTAGTCACTTTAATTGCTAACTCCAATTTTCTTCTAATTGCTAACGTTATGTTCCAAATATTTTAAACACCCAAATTTTGAGCTAACATATTACTTTTCATCATGCTTTACTGCAGACCATTTCGGATGAGTCTACTTGACTATAAATTGCCATTCCATGAAGACCTAAGCAGAGAAGTGGATTTTTTACTGGATCTATACGTAATAATTCAACTGTTTGTTTAACTCCCAGCTTTATTAATGGACCGCTTAGGGCTACACCATTGTACTCCCTTCGAGTGGTCTGGTCTCCAAGCCACGCCAGTAGCCTTGAAACCCTTCTCTAGGTCAATGGATACATATTCTGCCCCAGTATTATGACTTTTTTCGTCTTCAGAGAAGCCTTGAAGCGCTAAACCGGTGGTAGCTGAAATCATGTGCTGCGAATGGGAGAATCTGTGGCATCCTCTAACAGGGGGGCTGAAAATAATGTCTACCTTCGGCACCTACATCAGTCCTGTGTTCTGCAGGAATGTTATTAGCAAGTGTGGTGACACGAGTCGTGAGCCATCTGGAAATTTATTTACGTATCTGTCTACGGTACCTATACGAGGATATCAAATATGTGAACTCCTGATACCTCCCCCACTTCTCCACTAGCTGGAGAGAACCTAAATGGATATGGCTGGGCGGCTCCACTATGAGAACAAAGTGACAGGGAGACATACACAAAACAATTTTAAACACCGTCCTTTCCTATGCAACTCTGCTTTTGGGTCAGTATTCCTGCGACTAACTCTAAACACTCGTCGTGGCCGGCACACTTTCCCTTCCCTCAATACAGTGCCCAAACAGGACCAAACTCCAGATCCAATGGAATTGTCAAGAGGGATCAGTAATGCCGCGATCAAATATCATCTCCGTTGCACACAAAATCTAATGACTGGCGTGGTTGGTTCGTAAAGTGCCTCCTTACCGCACCGACTACTTTGTGATGACCGCCGCTGGTGGTTGACCAAGGGAAGCGCTGGAAACGGCGCTCATAAGAGATTGTTTATTTGTTTAACTCTCGGTTTTGTTAATGGGCCACTTGAGGCTTCGCCGTTGTAAGCCTTCCGAATGGCCTACCCCCCGATTCTTAGGAGGAGTCCCCAAACCCTCCTGTAAGTCGACAATACATATTCTTTCGTCTTTAGAGAAATCTCAGAGCGCTGCACTATATCGCTTCCTTTTGATTACCTATAATTTAAGGTGGGTTAATTATGATAAATCCACTGTGTTTTTGGATTTTGCTAGCAATATTTCCCTCACGACATAATTCGCTTATACCTCAGCACATTGGTGAAATAAATAGGTAGAAAGTGAGCTTGATGGTACAAAATACGGGAAAAGACCGACTCTTGCGCGTTACTCTCGTTTACCTTTGTATATGCGCAAGGCTCCTTGAAAACGTACCGCTTTCCACGAGGTAAAGCACTCAGGTGAATTGCGGAAGAGGCTGATTGCCACACTCCCCGTGTTAATCGCGGGGCTGGAGACAAATCAAGCTACCCAGTCAATTACGGTGCTTCTGGTTTAGTGTTCAGTGGCTCATGCCGAATAGATCAGGCGTAAACTCTGCTTCGAACCATCCTCAAGAAAATGCCAACGCATCAAATTCACTTCCGACCACTGATTGGTTAGGAGACCGATGCTAGGACCAGCCCAACTATTCGTAAACCCATAAGGGAGGTTGAAATCCTGTTAAATATTCCTTGATTCCTATATGCCTTAAGACAGAGCAGTTCAACAAAACCGACTACACCTTACCATTTCTCCAGTACCACATTCCACATCATAAGTCCATTGAATTTCAGAAGAGAAGCAGTCCCAAAATAAGGTAGCATCAATGTGCCGTCTAATGAGTGGACTTCGGGTCTCTGTTAGCCATTTGCGCGTAACATCTAACAAAATACAACCTGGCTGCTGACACAGTTGTTCAAAATGCATTTATTTTCGTTAAAATAAAACATCTCCAACACACCAAATGCAGCCTAAAATACCGGTGATAGTGCATCCCCTCAGCAGCACAATCTCAAACCTCTGAATGACGATACCCCCAAACAGGGTACTATCCATGTTTTTGCCTGGTAAGTGAGCAAATAATATGCTAGCCTTCCCAAAGCAAAAAAGCTAGTACATTTGAAACAAAAAAAAGAAAACACGCTTGTTGCTGCAACGGCAAAGGCGGAACAGGCTTTACTCGTGAATATCATTGACTGTGTGTGTGAGTGAGGGATTACGTTTGTGAGAGAACAGCACAAAGCCATTGCATGTACAATCACCGCAGGAATAATATTGTGTACAAAAAAGGAAGAGTGGAAGGGGGAAGGTGGAGGGAAGCCAAACGTAAAACACCATCAGCGCGTGGGTGAGAGATTTGTTCCGCACAGACGATGTGAGCTGTCTCCCGTTCTGCGTGCGTGAGTGCGTGTGTGACCGATCAACCTCGAACCACTGTTGTCTCGAGAAATTAAAGTGAATATGCGAAAGGACAAAAAGGAAGAAACAACTCAAAGCACAGTCTTGGTATGTGGAAGAAACGCTCCACAAGCTGTTGAAAGTGCGAGGGATGGCGAGATAAAGCAAAGATTACGTAAATAACTTTCTAAAAAAAAGCAAACGAAAAAGGCGTTAGCGACTAGAATTCGCAAAATTTCAGTGCGCTCCACTAAGATAGTGCCCAAAAGGACCTCAACTGCAATGTGAGACTCACGAATTGTTGGTGTTTGCAGCAGTACCAGAATGGGTTAGGAGAAAGAAGTGGAACTAGTGAGCCATCTCAAAGAACTGCATGCGGTCCTTGAAGGAGGGAAGCGCTTCAATCGGCGAGCCAAGAGACAAGTCCTGTGACGGGGTAACACTCTGCCAGGCAGAAAGACCGATCGAAAGGGACAAAATCATACTTAAGTGGAAAGTGGGAGGTGTAAAAACACTGCCATTCCATTCAAGGTGGAAGAGAGCGAAAATGAGTGAAGCCTTCCTAATGATCCTTTTCTCATAAGGTGTACAAAATGCTTTCCGTTGAAAAAGCAATTGATGAACGCAATGGTCAATGCATCTAGCCTTACGAAATGAAATTCAACTACATCGAAAGGCTGTGGCTTGCAGCTTAAGGGGAACAAGTTTTCAAATGAAGTTTCTTTACTAATAAAACAACTTAATTGTTAGAATGAGAATGAAACTGCAGACAAGCAGAAAGGCCAATTTTAACTAACAGACGATATAACTGGTGAAAAACAAATGTTTATTAAGATCGCAAATCCCAGGCTCGGAAGAAGATGGGTTCTGTTCATTGAACTTAGGAGGAAATGTTAAACTTAGTATCTTGAGGTAGGTCATACTTTAACCCAAAAAGCAACTTAACTTCCCAGGCACTGACCATATAACTTCGCAATCATTTAAAGTAAAAGAAATCGCATAAACCTCTGGGTATCTTTCAGTCGGAAAAAGTCCACCCACAACTCTGTGATTACGGAAGTAGTGTTATGGAAAAAAAAATGCATGCAGTTCTATGGAAAGACGCATTGATTCAAATACCCCTATCTGAACGCTTAGAGATTTTTCAGGTGCAGTGAACCAAAGAGACGAAAAAACGTCCAACAAATGAAGAAGAGAGACCAACGTAAGAACACTCTTGAACCACGAAACTTGGGAGGTGGACTACCTCTGCCTCAACGGGTTTTCCCGGAACATTCACACGCTTCGGTCGCCAACCGCAAAAGTTTGTGGAGACATTATCCAATGGCGCACCATACAGTGTTGGGTTGCTCTGAACCTCAATAAATTGCGCCACAACTGGAACCATAGAGGAGACATCCTCCGTCTCCTCACTCTCACTAGAAGTATTCTGATACAACAGCGAGTGCGGATGTGACTCCCGACACTCCCGTTGCTGCCGTTGGCGGAAGTGATGGTGGTTTCCCTCAACAACACATGGCTCCAAAGGCTTCTCCGAGGCTGTAAAACTCGCCTCACTGATGCCACTGCTGACGGTAGTCGCACGGACAGCGAAGCGAGGAGTTCTAAGTTGAGGAGGGCGTGTTATACCTTCGGCGCGGTCTCTATCCGCCTGCCATCGACGAATGCGTTCCATGAGGGCCGCAGAAATGGCCCGTTTGGGTCGACTTGCAGCTCGTACTGCAGGTATGTTGGTAGCCACAAGGCTATCCAATTCTGAATCGTTATTGGCCACTGATTGTGGCAATGGGTGCTTTGCATTGACTCTAGATGGAGGGGCTAGAGCACCTCTACTGCTCCCAACAACGGAGTAGCACTCCGTGACATTGGTAGATGGAATAAGGATGTTTTTAATCTCAGCAGGAGACGATGAGACCGTAGATTTAGTCAACCGACCCGATGGAGCTGGTGAAAGTAGTTTGGGAATATTCGGTGGCGACTGTCTACGCGAGAGGGGCACACACTTTTGAACAACCAGGGAACGAACTCCTTCACCTGGTGACTTTTCGATCAAAGGACGAATGCGTTCGACCATTTCACCAAAATGAAGCTTAAGGGAGGAGAGGAGGATAAATGACGTAAATGAGAAAATCAAGATTTAGTTGACTGATCAATAAGTTGGAAGAGAGGGGGAAAAGAGAAAGTGAAAGTGCCATTTCCAAGCGCGAAATCACATAAGCATGCACACACATAGGGACGCGATAGGTGATAGATCCAAACTTACGGAAGTGTTCGCGTGAAAGACGGAGGTACATGCGCATCCTCACCCTATCATCATCAGTCCTATGGGTGGATTTAATGAAGTAAACAAAGACTACAGCTTTACAGTATAGAAACTAAGGTTGGGTTATTTATCCAAATAGAAAGGAATGTTAAGTAAAACAGAAACTCTAAATTTGTAATAAATCACCTTGAGGGGTCGAACACTCTCCTGAACTTGGCCATCGCAATCGATGAGGTGGCAAGAGAGGTTACTGAAAACAGGCTGTCTGGAGGAGAAGACCTCACCAAAACTTGAGATGTCGATTCCGTCACAGAGGGTTAGACTTAAGGTGCCCTCCTGCGGATGGAGCACCTGAAAATGAGATTGAGGACACGGTGAAATAAAAGTGAGAGAAAGAGATCTTACCTCCACCAGTTCTTGAGGCTCTAGACTCATCACCCACTCTGAATTTGCCACTAACAAACGATCGCCGGGTTTTACCCGACCGTCCCGGGCAATGGGACTTTCTGGGGTGATCTGACGCACAAAAATGCCTTCCGTTTCCTCATTCACCGATCTTTCATCACTTCGAGAGCAAGAATGAGCCGGTGAGAGTAGTGTAGGGCGAAGACTCATCAAACTCAACCCCACTGGCTCGTCTGAAGGGCAGGAAATCACCACCTCCTGCAAGAGGAATGGACTTCAATGAGCTTCAAGACAGCAACTTAAGAGAAAAAAAATGGGAAATGACTCACTCGTAGACCAGGAGGAGAGGGGTCGCGTCGAATTTCAAGTATGAGGGATTCTTCCGCGACGCCGGAGGGCATGAGAGCAGCTACGGCTTCATCGTGGGTCACTCGACGCAAATCTCTGCCATTGACGCTCAACAGGCGGTCGCCCACACGAAGACCGGCCTCCTTTGCTTCACCCCCTTCCTGAACCTGGGGGAGAAGGAAATCAGAAGACCTCCAGTAACGCGTAACAGGAAAGAGTGATAAATCGTAAAATTAGATCTCAAGACATACCCCATTGGGAATGAGTCCTTAAAATACGCAGCTTAAATGAATCACCATCAGCCTATTTGCTCACTATCAGCTGATCAAAGGTCGAATTCGACTTTAATAAATGTTAAAATCGGTACGATTCGAGAACTGAAACAATATAAGAAATAGGACGCATTTTAAAGCGTAACACATCCTGCACACATGTGGTTTGCCAATTAGAAGGGAGGCATACAAACCAACGGACTGTTCATCATCACCTGACCAAAGTTCAAATGCCACTGAGAGGGAGCTTGCAAAGAAATGCGACAGGTGAATTATCCATGAGTGAGCTCGTAGTTTGTTTATATATCCATTTTCCGGAAGATAATGCAGCAACTTTACTCACTCATTTGCCGAAATGAAAAGTTAGGAGAAAATTTAGCGTTAAGTACCGTAAAACCAGCTCTATTCGAAACATAAAAGGTAAAAGTGGAGAGGGCATAGAAAACAGATGTTGAAATGGCATATTATAGAGCACAGCGATGAATCCATCTAAACTTTTGAAATGATATTACCATTG